CATCAAATGATTGATAAGGTTGCCGATATTTTATTCAGGATAAGAAAATAACAAAATGATGCCTTTTAGTTTACCTCCTCGTCCCTGTGCATGAAATTCATAAAACCCTCATGGTGATTGTTGTGAAGAGCAGCCTTGGGAGTATTTGCCGGAAGTTGCAGATAGTTTGGTCCAAGTCTCTGTCACTGAGTATCAACATAGGAGAAGATGCGAGTTTGGAGCAACTTATCACCTGAATAGCATATGCCAAGTACCACTATAGCACGACAAAACGCACGTTGCTCATTCTCAGCAAAGAAGTTATCAATGTTCTTGCCTGAAAAAAAGGTCAGAAAACAGAAGACAAAATCAAATGTCAGATAATAGCATATATATTTATATGGATTATATATGCAGTCTACAGCACAAACCTATCAGTTGCCCAGGATCAAGATTCAAGAGCAGCCTTGGGAGCATTTGCCGGAAGTTGCAATCGTTTGGTCCAAGTCTATGTCACTGAATATCAGCATAGGAGAAGATACGAGGTTGGAGCAACTTATCATCTGAATAGCATATGCCAGGTACTACTATAGCAGGGCAAAACGCAAGTTGCTCATTCTCAGCCAAAAAGTTATTAGTGTTCTTATTCAGGACCAAGCGACCAACTGGCTGTAGGGGCAAAATGTCCTCTGGCCAGGTCTTAGTTACGTCCAGTGGATCAAAATCAAATCTGTCTTCATGGTTAGGATCAATTGTCTGGATGTAGAGTTTCCACTCGGGATAGTTTCCACCTGCACTTGAATCATAGAGATCTTGAGTGGCATGACTATGGTTGGATCATCCAACCTTAATGGCCTCTTCCTCCAATAGGCACTTGACACCACATCCAGGTTTCCAGTGAAATTCCGCATAATGTGCTTTCCCAGCCTTGTTGATCAAAGTATATGTGTTGAAACCCGAACCTTTCATATGCCTGTAATCTTGTGGGACACCCACATCATCAAATCAGAAGGTAAACATGTGAAGACTTTCCAGATAATAGGAGAAGAAGTCAAGGATCCTCCAATTCTCCTAGATATGAGACTTGGGATTGGGTTTAAGAGCATGGACCATATCAGGAAACTTCATTCCATCACGGATAAAGAAGACGGGAAAGTTGTTTCCCACTAGATCAAAGTTACTCTAAGTTTATAAAATAAGAATAGGGATTATGTATATATGGAGAACTGGCAGTATTAATCAAAATGGGCAACTTCACTTTACATATATAACATAGTAATCATATTTAGTCACTGGATGATAATTTTAACTTCTATTGGACCCCCATATTCTTACCTTGTAATATTTCACAGCAAAACCTCAAGGATCGCTCAGAGTTTTTGGGCCAACACGCTCATGGATAACGGCTGAGAAACGGACAATGACAGGTGTCTAAACTCCAGGGGCTCGGAGAAAATCTGCACATGTCAGGTGAGAAATATCATGGGCGACTTAAAAAAAAAAAAAAAACCTTTGCTCAGCTCCCTTAGCATGGACAACACGTTCTGGGATCCGCTCCCTGTCAAAATTTGCAAGCTTCTCCACCAAGTGGTATTCCTCTAGGAAAATTGGACCCCAAAAGGGATTTTAAAATATCATTTCTAATTATAAGGTATAGTTAGCCAAAGATACTGCCTTTACTCCACAACCTCCCCTCACCCACTGCAAGTACCCTTATGCTATCATCAAGACATTCCTCCCCTAGGATTAATTTGGGAGAAAGTGACTTGAGGCATTTCTATTCTTTGCTTACAGTGACTATATTTGGCATAGATAAGAGTGAAAAGGAAGGCGAAACATTTTATAAATTAGAAGTAATCAAAAGCCCATGTATGCCTGATATTCCAGAACCACAAGACAATAGTCATTTATAATTTGCCATATCAACAATAAAATTCCTTCGATACCATTATCTATCACGATTGTTCTTGACTGGCAATAAATTTGAAGTCCTTCAAAAACGAATTCTTTCGAGGCAGAGCTTAAAAAAAGTTCAATTAAAAAGAACACATTCAAAAGAATTCTTGAAATTAAGGAGCAATTTATAGAAAACTTCTGTACCACGTCCCTATACCCACTTGATCATTGTTTCCCGTCATGCCGATAGTATTAATCACGCAAATATATTGATCCAACTGTTAGAGATGACTTGTTATTCCAAACTGGAGCACCGGAATTGGTAGTCCAGAAAGGAGAATTGAAGGCACTTGATGGTCAATACTACACGAAGTAGAACAAGAAACAAATCAGTAACATAGTATCCTGCATTTGCCAATTTTTACGCCAAAAACAGCAATACTCGCTTGATTAATGTGGCAAGGGAAACGTAGATTGACGTCACTGATTTCTCAATCAAAGGACAACCAAGATAAAGTAAACTTCGAAACATAAGAGATGGGTTAAATTGAAGAAGGATTTTATAACAAAAAAGAAGCAGTAAAGATTTGAGAATTACAAAGAAAAGGAAAAGGTAGATTGACGAAGGGTTGTTTGGAAATCTTGAAAAAGTTTTTACATAAACAAAGACAAAACTCCTTTCATCTTTTTAAAAATCCAAACACCCCAAAATCAAGTTAAAATCAATGTCAGAAAATAAAAGGAGAGCAATAGAGATTAACGATGTTGCATGAATCTATTCAAAGACAGAATAATGATCAATAAGAGAATTCAAGACGTCGTGTTGATTCACAGGGGTCCATGCCTCCATGGCGATGGCGCGATGGAGCTGTAGAGAGTAAGAAACAGCAGAGAAAAATGGTGATTTCGTGGTGTAATCAGGGACTAAGCGCTTCAGTTTCCGAATATTTAAAAAAAAAAAAGGCTTGCTCTTCCCTGTAATTTCTTCCATTTCCTTAATTTTCATCCCCATCTTCATCTCCCATTTTCTTTTGTTCTTATCATTTCCTCCTCTTTTTTGGGATGAAATCCCTATCTTAAACTCAAAAAATCTGAGAATCAGGCGACGGAAAGGTATAGAAGGCGTTTGTTTGATTGTTTGTTTCTTTTTAGGTTCTGTTGGCCAAAGACAAATCCCCTTCCATGGAACAGAAAGTAGACCATGTCTGGTTCGCTCGTTCGTTCAGTCGATTGATCAGGAAACAAAATTTATATCATTTCAATAAAAATGGCGACTCAGACTTTTTAACCGAGGCGCTTGTATTTCTTTCCAGCTCTTTTCCTCCCTCTAAATGTAGCAAAAGGCATCTTTGTTTGTTTGTGTCGTTTTATTTTGGGTTCACTTGTTGCCTGCCTTGTTTTTGCATGTCAAAGAAGCAGGGACAAACGTTGGAGGGTGGGACTCAAATCACAATCATTCAGTATAGGCCCCATGGAAGAGTGGGAAAAAAAGGCTGGTGTTGGATTAGGCGATTTCGACAAATTAGGCGAGTTCTCTTGTAGGTCGAAGTGATGGATTGTGTCACCCGTTCCAGAACATTCTTGGTCATGCTGAAAAAAATTGTACAGGGAGTTGGGACATTTCTTTAAATTTTCTCAAGCATAAACAAGGGAGAAGCATAAAATGTAAAAGAGAATGTAGCAGTAAATAATAATAATAATAATAAAAGAAAATAGAATATTAATTAGAAATAAAATTGGTAAAAACTCATTGAATAGCTCTTAAATATGATTTTATGAAAAAAAACAATTAAATCAATTCAAATTTCATGATGAGGGGATGTTTGATTAAAGAAGTGTGTGGAAACCCAAAAGCATTTTACATAAATTGAAATAAATTTTTTTTACATGGTCATTTTATATACTACTATTTCTGATCCTCAATATAAGACCTTATTTGACTATTTTTATCCTAAATATAAGACCTTAATTCACTTTGTCTCTCATATTTGTGTATTTTTTCCCAAAGTAATCCTTCTAATAATGGTAGTTCTAGTCAAAATACTTGATTAGTAAAGATATTTTAGGAAAAACAACATCTATTTGTTACAATAACTAACTTAACTTTCTTATTTAATCTTCTCAAATTAGTTAATTAACGTTTGTAATTAAGACCTAGTATAAAATTATTTTTAAAACTATGATTTACCACCATGGCAACACCTAATCTTGGATTCCACGGGGACATCCTACAACTCCGCCCTATCAGTATTGTGCTGGGGCCTGGCCTTGGTCCTGTTATCGTGAATTGGGCCGAGTTTAGTTTCCGCGATTGCTCATATTCCTTTATATCCTAATATTTGGTTCCATGGGGTCTCTTATGGGGAGTTGCGGTTTGGCATCTGTGGCTTTGGATGAATAGCTGTGTATTCAATGTTGATTTTCAAAAGCCTGTGCGAGCGAAACTAGATCTTTTATTCAATTGAATGATTTTAATTCAGCCAGTAATGAAAAAACCCCTATCAACCGAGGCCCATGGTTCCCTCCTCCTAATAAATGGTTCAAAGTTAATGTTGATGGTGCTATATCTTCTTGTAATGAGAAAGCAGGATGTGGGAAGTAAGTAGAGACCACGCTGGTATGTGGATTGTGGGTTTTTCTTACCAGATTGGATTGAGTTAAGCCTTTGCTGCTGAGGAATTTGCAATTTTAAAAGGGCTTAAGTTGGCTTGGGACTTTGGTTTCAAAAGAGTTATATTGGAAAAATCTTATTTGATTTATTGCACGGTAACCACCTGGACAACTCGTGCAGCTTACCTTTCTTGCAGATCACTGATATGATGAAGCTGAATTGGGACTTAAGTCTAACTTTTGTTCCAAGAGACCATAATAAGCTTGCGGATGCTCTGGCCACGTCTGGTTTATCAAAAACTGTTTTCATGGATTGCTGCCCTCCTCATCTAAGGGTGTTGTGTGACAAAGATATTATGGGACTCAGTCCCCATGTGATGTAATTTACTTTTTGGGATTCAGCCCTCTTTATAACCAAAAAAGAAAATTTAGTTCTTGATTGATGGGTGACGATTTTAATTAGTTCCTACCACAGCTGGGGTCTTGATTGAGAATTCTGAGAACCGCCTTGAGAAATATAAACGACATAATGTACTGTTCAACGAAGATAACCAAGAAGGAATTCGACTACACTCTTCAACTCTGCTTGTTATATTACAGTAAGTGAATGATATTTATCATGACGAATACAGGAGCATACCTAAAAGAAAAATCAAATATGCTCGCTCTTGCTCATGAGGTGTAAGAGCGCATCTACTTTTCTCTTGGCTCGAGCTGTTCCACTTTCTTTGATCTCAATCAAGTGCTCATATACACCAAACTGAAGGGCTGCAAGAATAAGGTTAGAATTATTGGAACCCAACTCAAGAAGAACAGACAATGCGCACTCCTTATTCCTGGGAGTTCCTTGTCTGATGAACTCAACCAGAGTTTGGATGAAGGGGAGCTGTCCCAGCTCTTGTCGTCCCTCTGGGTTGGATGCCAGAAGTAAGAGGATGGAGAGGGCCTCATCAATCATTCCCAAGTTTGTATCCTTGAGCAATTGCTGTAAAGGAGCCAGAATGCCTGCCTCAATGGCCCTTCCCTTGTTTGAGTGGTTCAGAGATAACCCAAACAGAGCTGTAATAGCATCCTTTTTCCCTCTAATTGTCCCATTCCTCAATAATTCTACCAGAGGGGGAATGCCATTTGATAGGCCCACAATTTCTTTATTCTCATCCAGCATTGACAAGCTAAATAGAGCTGCTGCAGAATTTTCTTTGGCCTCAATACTTCCACTACGCAATACTTCTATAATAGCTGGAATTGCCCCTTCTCTGCAAATCAGTATCTTGTTGCCCTCGTCAATTGATAGATTTAAAAGCGCCGTCACCGCATCCTCCTGTATTTTTGAATCTGGATAGGACAAGAGTTGCACCAACGGCGGTATTCCTCCATTCTCTGCCACCAAAACCCTGTTCTCAGAATTCTCCTTTGATATCATACGTATCTTTTTCACTGCTTTTCTCTGCACTTCTAAGTGGACAGATGATAGGTCCCCAACCAGAGCTGCTATTTCCCCTTTCGGATCCGCTACGCAACTTTCTTCGCTCGAACAAGGTTCTTTCTTTGGGAGTTTAAAGTTGTTTTCCTCACACCAAACGGAAATCAAATTTTTCAGAGCATAATTTGGTGCCAATGACAGGTGGGCCAAAGGTTCTCGAGTCTTGGGGCAAGTATCACGATTAGACTCGAACCACTTCTCTATGCTTTCCCTTTCATATGTCTTTAGCAAGAATTGGATAAAAGAAGGAAAAATTAGTTCTTAAAACAAGCATCAACTATCAGACACAAAAAAATTCTCACTTCCAGAAACTGAATAAAACAACTACGGCTCAAGAAGAATATCCGAATCTGCAAACTCAACTTTTTCCCTCAGCAAAATATCAAGAGTTATTTGAATAAACAATTGTCTGGTTACCTGGCCGCTGGCGATGATGACAGGATCTGTCATAATTTCTAGGGTGATTGGGCAGAGAAATTCATGAGGGATGACCAAAGATGTGCACTTGTCAAGCACTCTGGGCATGACAGGCTCATCAGGAATGTTGGGGTCTTCCATGCCGGCAACTTGTTTGAATTTCTTAAGAAGGTCAATGATTTGCTGGGTGCTGTCTGCATTTTTGCCTTTTCTTTCTCGGACAAGGTTCCTTACAGCAAGAGTTTCTATATTAAGTTCCTCAACGGTGTGAAGCTCGAGCTTTTGCCCAAGCCTCTCGATGATAGCGCTGTCAGCATTTCGGTGGTCGTCTTTGGAAAAAACCACAATCATGTCCATTGCGAGTTCTATGTCTTGCGTATCCGTTCGCCTCTTTGCCCGCCTGAGTTGCACGCACATTAGCTCAAGCTGAATCACAGTATCAACTTATCTCAACATTTCTGAGGAACATGAACATGAATCTTTTGCAAGCTAAGTAACGCAAGCTGTTTTGCCGATTAGTAAATACACATTTTATATATATACTCTTCTAGTTCCATTTAGAAGGCAATTCCAACATATTTTACACAGACTAAGAAAAACTTTAAATTGCATTAAATCTTCATTAAAATATACTACCTTTGGTTCTAATTATAAGAGTCAGTTGACTAATTTGAGAGATTAAGCAAGTAAGTTAAATTAGTTATTTCTAATAAATAGGTATTGTTTTTTCCTAAAATATCCTTACTAATCAATTTTATTGGTTAGAACTATCATTATTAAAGGGACTACTTTGGGAAAAAATGCATAAATATAAGAGATAATATGGATTGGGGTCTTATAATTAGGACCAAAATAAAAATCAAACAAGGTCTTATATTAAAGACCGGAGGTAGTAGTAATTTTTCAACTTTACCCCTGTTTAATATATACACCTTTCAAAAAAAAAAACTATCTACACTATAATAAATGAAGTACAATATAGTACATTCATAGTAAAAATTTAATAAAATGACTTAGAAATAGGACTAAAGAAGTATATATACACTCACGGCTTAGCTCATAATAATATTAAATATGTAAGGATTCCGAAAATTAAAATGTGACTTTACAAAATTGTTTTTGATAAAAATCAATATTTTCAAAAACATGAATTATAATTTTTATAAAATTCATTCATTATGAGTATTTTATATTTTTTTCAAAACAAAAATTATATTTAGCCTAAGACCAAACTTAAGACAATACTTAAGTCAAGTTCTTTGTTAAGTCACATGACCATTCGTATTACTTTTAAAATATTAGCATTTAATTGTAAAATCACATAACAAAAATTAAGACATATGACCATTTAGATTTCACCGGAAATGGAACTTTGGGACCTAACCTTTTTAGGTTAAGTGAATTTTGTTACATTTTATTTATGAAAAAATTTCTTATAAGTCTTAGCTAAGAAAATTAAATACAAGTGTGCTCTGTGAATATTTTTCTTTTTGTCTATGGCGGAAGAGGAAAAAGATAGGAGTTCCATTGAGATAATTCGGCAAGAGGTTAAACGATTTCTATATGAAACCTCTTGGACAGATTTCCTGATGAAGCCGGAGAAATAGGTGGTGAGGAATTTTTTAAGGAAAAATAATAACGCGGGTTCATGTATTTTATATTATATACTATCTTTGGTGTTAAATATAAGAACTAGTTAAATAATTTGAATATATTAAGAAAATAAGTTATGTTAGTTATTTGTAATAAATATATATTGCTTTTCGTAAAATATCCTTACCAATCAAATTTATTGGCTAAAACTACTATTATTAGAAGAATTATCTTGAAAAAAAAAGATTAATATGAGAGATAAAGTGAATTGAGATCTTATATTTAGAACAAAATAAAAATCAAACGAAATCTTATATTAAGAAGAGGAAGTAGTATTAGTGAATGTATATGGACGTCTGGACTGGATGGTTTGGATCTGTGCCATCCTATGGAATAGGAGAAATTAACAAGGCCAAGCATTTACGAGACTGCAGCAGAAATTCCTTCCAGTTTAACTCAGAATTCGTTCCAAGTAAAGATCAAGATGGAAAAAAGAAACTACCTGTTCTTTTAGTTCATCTGATATTTCTAATTCTGTTCCAGGAAAATCATCAAATACTCGACTTAATTTTTCATATGTTGATCGAAAATTGGACATAACTGCTTCGCTCTCCAGTACCTGAAAGGAGCATAGGTCAGAATAGATGAGAAGCGAAAACACCTTAGAACCCACTTGTGTTTCTTAAGAAAACCTCGAGAATTTTTGGGGACCCTAACCAGGTGAATCTTGCTCCCCTCGCTACACATTTTCAGCAATTTCTTCGCAAAAACGAGAGCATCCTTCAAATGTTTTAACCATGTTATGCCCTTCTCTGGAATGTGAGGGCCCAGATCCCGTATTTCTTCTATGAGTGGCAACAAAATTTTCATCCGCCTCGCAAGATTATGACATTCTTTCCTGTGAGTCTTCCGGTATTCTCCAAACTGAGCTACTGATTCAATAACTCTCTGAATTTCTTCCACCACATTGGACTTGTCCAACTCATTATCCCCCTCTAATGTTTCACCTCCTTCTTCTTCTCCACCCAGCGCCATGAAGCCGTGTCTTAATATATATATATATATATATATATATAAGGAAAAAAAAATCTAGGGGAATATACGATAGCTAGTTTCAAGCACTGGAACAATAATTCACGAGAAATTACCAGAGTCGATGTTCAAGAAATGAACCCTAGCCTTAGTTTGCATTGAGTCCGGCAATGTGTGTTGGGGAGGCCAATTTCACGGGCTTTGCGGGCTAGTTTCCGTTAAGTTCGTTTTAAAAGAAAGCATCTCGCGAATTGTGAGCCACGCCACTCTCTCTCTGTCTCTTATTGTCTCCACTCTAATTCTCATTAGTAATTATATGTCTCCTCAAATTCGTGTGGGGTGTGTATGCAACTTTCTCAAACTCGCGGCAATATGAAATATTGAATTTGATTCTAACAAACCTAATCGTACTTTTGGCCATTGTATACTTTAATTAAAAGCCAATCTCACACACTCCCACAAATCATTTAATTTGATTTTGAGTGAAATTGTACATGATGATTTTACAAACATCACAAATCGCCGACGTATGTGAAAAGGAAATGAGCCAGTAGCACTCACGAAAATCAGGGAGCTCCGTCAATATTAACGCTTAAAAATAAAATTTTGCATATTCAGTTGAATTTTATCACCCGGCTGATCAAAACACATTTAATTTTGTAAAATTTAGGTGTGTTTAACGTCAAATAAGAAATAATTAAATTAAATTTACTAATAAAAAGTTCTGAACGAGTTTGGGATTGATTGATTGATTAATAATAAAAATAATGAAATTTCATGTCATGTCTTGAGGGGCAATGGAAGGAGCTTGGTTCATAATTAGCAAAAATGTCTAATTGGATATTTAGTCCGTCACTCAAACGTGAAAGCAAGACTAAAGACGTCAATTACCGCTGATGGAGATTGCAGGCAGTAGGGAGAGTACAAGGTGAGATGTAATACTTGTGGAGGAGGAGGGGAGATTTTTTTTTTTTTTTTTTTGGGTACGGATGTGGAGGAGGGAGACGAGTGTGTGTGGTTTTGGTAAATCTACTATCGTTACCAGGGAATGGGCCTGTCTTACGTCGAGAGACATGCAAGCACATTTATTAATTCTATTTTTTTGTACCAAAAAAAAGATGCCATTTTTTCAATTTTTTAAATCCAACTTATTACAATTTTTCTTCCCTTCTAATAAGTCCTTATTTTATATGCATATTCATGGTTATTTTATGAGTTTTAAGGCAATTTTATGGCTTAAACCATGATTATTTTGTTTAACTGAGTGCTTATAACATTTTAAGAATTATAACTTAGTTGTTATTAATTGATAATAATTAAGTGATTTTAATTCCTCAATATTTTTTTTGTCCTTATGATATTTCATTAGTTGAATTATTTTCTTTCAGGTGATAATTATGCTAGAAAAGAAAAAAGAGTTTTCGAGATAACCAAAATTTCATGGATTTTTCATTACACAGGAGTTGCAACTTCTTTTTCATTTTACCTCCACTTATTCCTAAATACTCTTTCAACTAAAGAGAAATTATACGCAAGTCTCATAGAAGACAATTAATCTAAAAAATCTTTGAAAATCTCAAATGCTTTCTAAGCCCCCAGATCTCAGAGTAAAAAATTAAAATTGTGAATTACCTAATGCCCTCACCGAATGACAACATGCACAGTTACAGTTACAACCTACACAGCAGTCAATCACAACTTATATTTGAGCCATTCACAAGATGCACAGAAACCAATCACAACCCACACTCAACCGAATGACAACATATAATCACAATCCACGCAGCAGCAATCACACAACTTTTTCCATTAGTAAAGGTAAGTAGTTAAGGTAAGTAGGTAGTTTCACAATTTCAATTTTTGAAATGAAGTCTCCGGCGACTTGGAAAATATTTGAGAATTTTAAGAAATTTTTCAGAATTAATTGTCTTCTGTAGGATCTGTCTGTATTTTTCTCTTCAACTAACCCTAAATTAATCTCCTATTCCAAACGTCTTACTCGTGATAGATATTTAGCAGGTTTCACATCGTCCTATCGTTGCCAATTTTGCCCGGTGATTATCAGATTTTTTTTTTCCCGGTTCTGGCCAAGTTGGAGGACTTCCAGTGATCTCTGGTTAAACTGGGGATAGCGATGTGTCATTTGTCTCCATATGTTTTACCAAAAATGATTGTCTGATTTGGTACCGTATATATCGCATTAATATCACGTTGGAATGAATGCAAATTGAATTTCCTTATCTCCACTTGATGGATAATTGGGTCTATAGGCATATATTAGTCATCCAATTATTCCCACCGCCCCTTCCGTGTGTTTGAGTTTCGGTGGCCTGATCCAAAATTTGCTCATTTTCCACAGAATTTAGGAGGTGCGGTCCGTCTAAGCGAGCAAGTTATTCTGAACTTCTGAGACTTCCGGTTCCAGAGAGTTTTTCTTTTCTTTTCTTTTCTTTTTTTCTTGTCAAAATTTCTGCTCTTAGAGATGATTGAAAAGAAGGAGGATTTTCTCATTGTGGCGCCATTTGAGTGCGCATGGCGAAAGGATTTGAAATTCCGAGAACCAGGTCGGGGTTGCGTGGGTTTTCGAAGCTTTTGCGCCAACGATATCACATTGGTTTTCCGGGAGAATGTCGGAAGCCCGGCACTACCATTACAAAAGGGATAGCAGTCCTCACTATACCGTCATTTTGGGTAGCCATAGGAATAGAAGGCTGAGATTGAGGTTGATGGAAAAACCGTTGTGATGTGGCTGGTTCTGGACTTTGTTGCTCTTCATCGTTCCAGAGTTATTGGATCAGCATCTACGATGGGTTGATCAGCATCGGCAAAGGAAAATACCCTTTCCAGAATATTGTGTTTCAGTGGTTGGATTCTAATCCTAACTATAATGTTCAGTATATTGGGCTCTGCAGCTGGGATAAGCACGTTGGATATAGAAATGTTAATGTGTTGTCGTTAACACATAATCACATGTCCCAGTGGAAGCACGTGAGTTTTGGTGAATATGAAGTTGTGGAGGAGGGTGACGAGGAGTTGGGGGACAAACCGATGGATTATGACAATTGGGGGCTGAAAAATTTTCTGGAGAGCTGGGAATTGTCTGACGTTTTATTCATTGTTGGTGCAGAGGAAAGACCTGTACCTGCTCATAAAGCCATTTTATCAGCATGTGGGGATTTTCCTATAACCTCATCATTCTCTGTTATTTCGCTGTCCACGGTTACTTACCCAGTTTTTCATGCACTGCTTCAGTACATCTACGCTGGCTGGACTGAGGTACACAATTTTCCCTTTTAGTTATCTCTGTATTCCCTAATATTGAATATGGAGATTGTTTTTCTTGATTATCTAGCATGTAACTTCCGAAGCGCAGTTATCTATGCGTATTTTCCCCCTCGCTCTACTGATCTGTCTTCACCTCTAAGAACTAACATATGCAATATACCTAACTCCATTGCATGCCTAGTCAACCACTTGCTCAACGTGAAGAAATAAACCTCGAAAGCTTTTGCTAGTATTGAACATTCTTCCCTTAATTCCAGTAAATACAAAGGAGTAGTAGCATGTGGGAGAGATAGAAAGCACATATGGGTAACCAGACCTCCAAAATTAGCAGTACGCACGCGCGAACACACTTATAAGCAACAATTAGCTTTAACTGATAATTCTATTATTCATATGAAACTTGTCCTTCTATGTAATTTTATCGAGCTCATTCTGTCTTTGTATCGCGCAGATTCCTCCGGAACAACTTGTTTCCTTGAGGGCTCTAAGTTTACAGTTTGAAGTGATGCCACTGGTTAAACAATGTGAAGAGGCTATGGAGCGGTTTAGGCTAAACCAAAAGTTCGTCTCGGGGAAGAATGTGGAGCTATCATTTCCAAGTGCTAGGCCTCATTGTTGTTCAACTTTGCCCTCACTTCCTGTCAGTAGTCAGAGACTAAAGCAATTGCAATTAACTGGCCAGTACAGTGACGTAAACGTATATATTGAGGGTTATGGGCGTGTCGCCGAAGCACATAAAATTGTTCTCAGTTTATGGAGTATCCCATTTGCCAAGGTGAGCCAACTTCATTTGAAATGATTTATTTCCCTTTGAAAGCATATAGTTTGAGTTTTGGATTTAGTGTCTTTTCACCGTTAAGCTTCTACTTATTTTTAGGGAGTATATTCTTGGAGGAAATGAATTGTATGAAATGAATTCAGTTGTCAGCAGTAGTATATATCCAATGAAGATGAAAGTTCTCCTCTTGTTCATGACAAAAAATTACTTTTTGCAATGGATAACATCTAAAATAAGGGTATTTATTTTGTTTAAGTGAAATGTAACTGTCATCATGACATTGAGCTGAAGTTTCCGACATTATGGTTAATACTTCTTTTTTTTTTTAAATATCTTGTTAATTTCGTACAGTGAAGGTTTGCCTAGAAAAACCTCCATCTATGGCATTGACACCCAACATTCTGGCTTTATAGTTGCAATGTGATTTAGAACAGTGTCCATAGAAAAGTGTTTTTCATGTACAGTTGTAAATGATTTAAATTAAATTTATACGTATGCATAGAAAAATTAGTGTGTTTAGTTTTTGTACCTTTTGACTTTGGTGGTAGGAGCCATTTCTTAAAGATCTTGCTATGTATCTTTTTAGATGTTCACAAACGGAATGAGTGAAAGTATGTCATCAGAGATCACTTTCAGGGATGTGCCACCAGAAGCTTTTAAAGCTATGTTTGACTTCTTATACAGTGGGAAACTAAATGATGAAGTCAATATAGATTCTGGTTCTTTGTTGCTGGAGCTGCTTTTATTGGCTGACCAATTTGGAGTGACTCTTCTTCACCAGGATTGCTGTAAAATGCTTCTAGAATGCCTGTCAGAGGTAGTTTGGTAAACTTGACTTGTATGTCAGTCACTATTAGAATGTTCGAAACATAATTCTGACGATCTTATTATATTATGCCACTTGAATTTGGTCGGAGAAGAGAGTTGCGGTTTCGGACTTCTGAAAACAAAAGAAGAGATCCATTTTATAATGAATTATAAGATATTGATACTTCTCATCTACATATTATATGCAGGGATGGAGTCTCTTGGGTGAAGGTCATACAACAGTTTTTCTATTTTGCACACGTTTTATGGAGGAGGAAGCAGACAATTTTGGCAAAATAATTTTATAGCCTTAGAATCTAACTGTTGAACTTTGTTGCAGGACTCATTATGTCCACTCCTTCAAGTGGTTTCTTCGATCCCATCATGTAGACATATTAAAGAAACATGTCAGAGGAAATTCGCCATGAACTTTGACTACTGTAGTAGCGCGAGTGCCGACTTTGTCTTGTTAGATGATACAACTTTCAGCAATATAATTCAGGTAAGTTCACGTTAAGTAGCTCTATTTATTGAAGCACAAGGATTGAGATAGCTGCATATTAAGTATGATCTGAGGGTGTCTACACATCAATTATGAACAATTAAAGCTGGAAAATCCTCTGCAAGAGTAGTGTTACTTAGCCAAAGCAGTGGCTTGGAATGCTAGTCAAAATTAACAATTGTTGGACGAATGTGTTTCGTGGAAGCCATAAGTTACATGGATTTGGAATTAATGAAATGAATAAGGGTTCAGCGGATACCTGCAACTGCATTATGAATTGGACCATGTATTGTTTTGATATTAGAACCATAGGCATTATTTCCCACGTTTGTAAAGCTAATTTTTTCAAGTAATAGCTAAAACTTCAAATCCACCAGACAATACGTTGGACATGATTTACTTTGCGTCAACAAGTTTTTCAGCCCAGTAAGCTCTCCCTGTAATATACTGTCAACTTGATTTAACATTTCGTTGTTTATATCTGAGTTTTGCAGCATCCAGATTTGACTGTTACATCTGAAGAGAAAGTTCTCAATGCAATCCTAATGTTTGGCATGAAAACTCAAGAACTAGTTGCATGGGAAGTGGTGGATGAGTTAATGATTAATTCAAAACCTGAACTTCTTTTTGGTGAGAGGCTTCAGTTAGTTCATGACTTGTTGCCATTTGTGAGATTTCCGCTACTTCCATATTCGTTGCTTAAAAAGGTGAATAGACTTGGGATACAAACGTTTGTTTGGATGGTTTGCACAAATGGGATTTGCTTGCTCTAAACAATGCCATTGTATTTCTTGTGCAGTTGCAGAGTAGCAACATTAGCAGACACATTCTTGCGTTTCAAAATCTTGTAAGCTTGTTGTCTTCTCCCAGTGAATTGTTTCAGGCCATGTTTAACGGCCTTTTAGAATATAGTTTCTTAGTTATTTTTTCTACTCTTTTGTTTACAGGTTAATGAGGCTCTTAATTTTGCTGAAGATGGACTGGCAAGGCCCGAAGATAAAGAGAAGTAAGTTCATAAAAATTTATATGTAGATTGAATCCCCACTTTTTTATTATGAATATCATATGTAGGAGAAGTTAGCTTATATTTGGTCTCTTTTTAGTGTTAGATTCCTTCACAGACGATCTAGTTACAAGGAGCTTCAGTACATATGTGATGGGGACAGCAATGGAGTCTTGTATTTTGCAGGCACATCATATGGAGAACACCAGTGGGTTAATCCTGTTTTAGCCAAGGTAGATCATCGAAATCATTTTTCTTTTAATACTTTTCTCCTTTTGGGTCTTGGTCTTGGAATCTGCACACACTTATGCTAGCCCCTAAGTAACAAATTCCTTTTGGCAGACAATTACCATCGCAGCTAGCAGTCCCCACTCAAGATACACTGACCCCAAGGTTTTGGTATCGAGAACTTACCAGGTATGCAGAATTATTTTCTGCGATTGACTGTTGCGAAGTTTCTCCAAGTGTACTTGAACTTTGCTTGCCTGTCACAGGGAACATCATTTGCAGGCCCTCGGTTGGAAAATGGACATAATTGTGCCTGGTGGATGGTTGACCTTGGCCAAAATCATCAGGTATGACGATATGCTGATCCTATACTCTTAAAGGATTTTTTTTTTGGGTAGGTCAATAGGCGCATGGATTTTATTTTGACCATAATCGGTATACGTAAAATCTGGAGGTGTCTGAACTAATAATAGGATGGACTGTAGCTCTACTATAGCTATACCTTTTTGCTCTTTGGCCAAATCGCATACCTTATTAAGCAGATTAGAAAGGGTCGTTTAGGATACCTGGTAAGCTTGCATCTTTAAAGTGCTTTTTAATCCAGCTTGCAAAGTGAAAAATATTCATAATTTTATGTGACCTTGAAGATTTAACGGCCAGATCAGTCAAGATTATCACGTGTTCACTTGTGCAAAAGCACATGACATCCTTTCTAAAGGAATGCCCTTTGGTGGAGTTCGATGGTTGAGAGTCGGCCTACCAAGCCCGGTATTTAGTAGGTTGGCTGACATTGGAGAGACGCTGCAGCGTGCCAGCCCCTACGTTTCATGAATAACGTGTAATATGAATATAAGCATAGCATTGTTGATTTTAGCTGCTAGTAAACATCTTTTAAAAATCTATAATTTCTCGTGACTAAGCATGCGCCATCTGTGAATTTAACCGCAACAGCTCTTTATCAGTCCATTCTGATGCAATGGAAGATTACTTTTGATGCAGCTTATGTGCAACTACTACACCTTACGACAGGACGGGTCCATAAGTTACATGGATTTGGAATTAATGAAATGAATAAGGGTTCAGCGGATACCTGCAACTGCATTATGAATTGGACCATGTATTGTTTTGATATTAGAACCATAGGCATTATTTCCCACGTTTGTAAAGCTAATTTTTTCAAGTAATAGCTAAAACTTCAAATCCACCAGACAATACGTTGGACATGATTTACTTTGCGTCAACAAGTTGTTCAGCCCAGTAAGCTCTCCCTGTAATATACTGTCAACTTGATTTAACATTTCGTTGTTTATATCTGAGTTTTGCAGCATCCAGATTTGACTGTTACATCTGAAGAAAGTTCTCAATGCAATCCTAATGTTTGGCATGAAAACTCAAGAACTAGTTGCATGGGAAGTGGTGGATGAGTTAATGATTAATTCAAAACCTGAACTTCTTTTTGGTGAGAGGCTTCAGTTAGTTCATGACTTGTTGCCATTTGTGAGATTTCCGCTACTTCCATATTCGTTGCTTAAAAAGGTGAATAGACTTGGGATACAAACGTTTGTCTGGATGGTTTGCACAAATGGGATTTGTTTGCTCTAAACAATGCCATTGTATTTCTTGTGCAGTTGCGGAGTAGCAACATTAGCAGACACATTCTTGCGTTTCAAAATCTTGTAAGCGTGTTGTCTTCTCCCAGTGAATTGTTTCAGGCCATGTTTAACGGCCTTTTAGAATATAGTTTCTTAGTTATTTTTTCTACTCTTTTGTTTACAGGTTAATGAGGCTCTTAATTTTGCTGAAGATGGACTGGCAAGGCCCGAAGATAAAGAGAAGTAAGTTCATAAAAATTTATATGTAGATTGAATCCCCACTTTTTTATTATGAATATCATATGTAGGAGAAGTTAGCTTATATTTGGTCTCTTTTTAGTGTTAGATTCCTTCACAGACGATCTAGTTACAAGGAGCTTCAGTACATATGTGATGGGGACAGCAATGGAGTCTTGTATTTTGCAGGCACATCATATGGAGAACACCAGTGGGTTAATCCTGTTTTAGCCAAGGTAGATCATCGAAATCATTTTTCTTTTAATACTTTTCTCCTTTTTGGGTCTTGGTCTTGGAATCTGCACACACTTATGCTAGCCCCTAAGTAACAAATTCCTTTTGGCAGACAATTACCATCGCAGCTAGCAGTCCCCACTCAAGATACACTGACCCCAAGGTTTTGGTATCGAGAACTTACCAGGTATGCAGAATTATTTTCTGCGATTGACTGTTGCGAAGTTTCTCCAAGTGTACTTGAACTTTGCTTGCCTGTCACAGGGAACATCATTTGCAGGCCCTCGGTTGGAAAATGGACATAATTGTGCCTGGTGGATGGTTGACCTTGGCCAAAATCATCAGGTATGACGATATGCTGATCCTATACTCTTAAAGGATTTTTTTTTTTGGGTAGGTCAATAGGCGCATGGATTTTATTTTGACCATAATCGGTATACGTAAAATCTGGAGGTGTCTGAACTAATAATAGGATGGACTGTAGCTCTACTATAGCTATACCTTTTTGCTCTTTGGCCAAATCGCATACCTTATTAAGCAGATTAGAAAGGGTCGTTTAGGATACCTGGTAAGCTTGCATCTTTAAAGTGCTTTTTAATCCAGCTTGCAAAGTGAAAAATATTCATAATTTTATGTGACCTTGAAGATTTAACGGCCAGATCAGTCAAGATTATCACGTGTTCACTTGTGCAAAAGCACATGACATCCTTTCTAAAGGAATGCCCTTTGGTGGAGTTCGATGGTTGAGAGTCGGCCTACCAAGCCCGGTATTTAGTAGGTTGGCTGACATTGGAGAGACGCTGCAGCGTGCCAGCCCCTACGTTTCATGAATAACGTGTAATATGAATATAAGCATAGCATTGTTGATTTATTTAGCTGCTAGTAAACATCTTTTAAAAATCTATAATTTCTCGTGACTAAGCATGCGCCATCTGTGAATTTAACCGCAACAGCTCTTTATCAGTCCATTCTGATGCAATGGAAGATTACTTTTGATGCAGCTTATGTGCAACTACTACACCTTACGACAGGACGGGTCCAGGGCGTTCATGAGATTTTGGAATTTCCAGGTGGACTATCTTTAATTGAATCGGGGAAAACTAAATCGAACTTACTAATTAATTTAGCCGGCACAGGTTCTCTAATGTGTACGAGTGATCTACGTGATCATTTCAGGGCTCTCTCGATGGGAAGAGCTGGACGAATTTGAGAGTACACGAGAACGACGCGACAGTGAGCAAGCCTGGTCAGTTTTCATCTTGGCCCATAACTGGACCCAACGCTCTGCTTCCCTTCAAGTATTTCCGGGTTGTTCTAACGGCTCCCACCACTGATGCCACTAATCCCTGGAACCTGTGCATCTGTTACTTGGAACTATATGGCTATTTCCTTTAGAACTATTTGGCTTACTTGTGTGCTGTCCTCTGTAAAGAGCCTTGTGAGAAAAGTTTCGGTCCCTGTTACTCTAAGAACTTGCACTTGAAGTTAAAAATAATTTCTTTCTTTACATGAATGTGGAAGTTATAATTAAATTGTAGGGTAACACGCTCTTAGGAAGCATTTTATGGCGTCTGGACTCTAGCGCTCCGCATAGTGAAGTATCGTTGTTTCTTTTTACCAGCCTTGCTTGATGATTGGTATTTACTTGGCAAATCATACAGTTCATTTCTGGGTTCACGTAGATTCTTTTATTACTGCCTCCGACTGTCTTTTTTCCTTGATACAAAATTTTTTAAGTGAGTTGAGTTTTGAGGATTTATTAGGGCCAGACATGTCTTTAGGTACAAATGGTCTAGCAACAAATTCCTCAAATTAATAGTAAGATTTGAACTCATGAACTTGTAGTTTATGAGTTGACTTCTTACTAATTAGATCAACTCTTGTTGACATTATCTCTGACTCTTAAGATAAGAACTAGTTGAGAGTTGGATATGATATTAAATACTCCTCCGGTCCTTAATATAAGATCCATTTAACTAATTTGATTATATTACTGATGTTAGGTAAGTTAGTTAATTATAAGAAATGTTACATGTTTTTCCTAAAATACCATAATCATATTTCTTAATATCTCTTCTTCTTCTACTACTTGATTATAGTTGAGGGAGTCTCTATAGGGGTAATTTAGAGAAAATTGATAAATATGATAAATGGGTCTTATATTTAGGATCAAAATCAACTCAACAATTGGGTCCTATATTAAGGACCGGAGGAGTATAATACTATTTCCGATCCTTAATATAAGATCTCGTTTAATTTTTATTTTGGTCATAAATATAAGACTCTAATTCATTTTGTCTCTCATATTTATGTATTTTTTTTAGGGTTGTCCTTCTAACAATAGTAGTTTTAGCCAATACACTTGATTAGCAAGGATATTTTATGAAAGACAACACCTATGTATTACAAATAACTAACTTAACTTCTTTTTTTAATCTTTTCAAATTAGTTAACTAGCTCTTATTATTAGGACTGGAGGTAGTACTTCAATTTACTTTGTCATCTAAATTTATAGTTGTTTTTTCCCCCAAAAATGTCCTATTGATTGTAAGAAGTTCCTATCAAGTGGTGGTTTTAATAAGCATAATTGAATAGGATAGTTTAGAAAAATCAACATGTGTTTATTGCAAATAGTTAAATTAATTTTCTTAATATTTTTAAATTAGTCATTTAACTCTTGTATTAAGAGAAAAATTGAACTAGATACTTAGTACCAGCAAATTAATTGTAAAATAACATGTAAAAATTTGATCAGATTAATTAAAAATCATAAAATTTATATGCTTTTAAAAATTTGATTACTCTTTGCTTTTTATACATAAAAAATATGATAATATATGCTAAACTTGTTTAATACTTATTTATCGTCAACAGAAGGATTAGTTAAGCTGAAATAAATTAGTAAATAGTAGTACAAATAATTTAAAGATAAATTTGATCGATGAATAATATTTTGGATTTTTAAATATTCTTAATCGAAGTATAAATTAGAACTAAAATATAAATTTTAGTATATATATTATTCTCATAAATAGTCTATGACCAAAATTATGATGAATAATATAGAAGTGCGTATATGTATAATAAATTTGGACATAAATAAACTTTTGATATTTATATATTAATGCTCTTTTTTTAAGGGAAACCTATTTGTGTAATAATTATTAACATTGTGTATATATAATAAATCGAACATGATCCTTTTCTTTTTTGCCAACAATCGAATATGCTTCTTAAAGTTGTATTTTGTGAATACTATGATTTACGATAAAATTTATGTTCTACGTTGATATTGATTTATTGATGCCTTGCCCCCAGCCGATGAGAATTCAGTTTATTGGGGAAAATCCAGAAAGCTCACAAATGGACTCGTGTCATTGCCCGTAAAGAAAAGCACGGGCACAGGTTGATGCTATTGTATTTTCAGAATTTATAGTGACAAATTTTGACGGCCGTTGCTTCGTCACGTGGTAGAGGATATGCTTTACTTGCTTTACTTGCTTAGTGTCTAGCGATACTGACGTCCCAGGTTTAATCATAATGGGTCCCGGACAGTATCAACAGTGAGATGCCTGTGACTATGATTATCCGCATTTTACATGGATTTGCACATATTAGAGACTTTGGGGATGAGTTTGGAATCTGAAGGTTGGCGAGTTTGAAGCTGAGCTTGGCGAGATGATCGGCTGCTTGGGTCCTTATCCCATCGTTGCTACTGGCTCTTTATCACCTTCCTTAAGCAAGTCCTGCAACGAGGTACTACCAACTCGATTTCTTTCCGTTTTGACTGCAATGGCTTTTACATTTTAGGCATTCGGTACCGTTTCGCGGGAATACTGACGAGTATCTGTCTGCTTGTTTGTTTGAAAACCACAACCCGTGTATGTAGTCCGGCTTTCTGCTCGTGTGAACTGGTTTATGTTCGTTCGCTTTTCGTAAATTGCTTCCGTACCTTCTAGAACAACTAGTATGTAATTATCTGCCCCGTATACAAATGGATTTCCTCTTGATATTTTTATTCAACTATCTGAATTTTATTCGTCATCTACACTAGTGAGTTGGTTATTCTTCTTCTTCCCCCCCCCCCCAAAATGAAATTTGTTTTGCCTGTTATGGAACTTGTCATAGGCGTCGTTTGAATAACATCGAAGTAAAGTATTAGATCTACTTGATTAACAGCATGTTAAAACGTCGAGAATGTAGCTGTCATTTCGATTTTTCATTTATTGTAACGGAACTAATTCCTTTACGTCTATATTGCAGTCTTTTGATCTTTCTAAGTATTAGTTTGGTCGTGGATAATTTTCCGTATGACATATAGAGAAGGTAGTGAAAGTGAATTATGGCTGAAAGAATCACCAAAGGAAGATCACATTTTGGACTTCACTGTACCTTGACATGAATTATACATATTTTTCACAGTTTTAGAGACTTGCATTTTCCAGCTTTTGATCAGGATAGGTTATCTCTCTGCTTCCGCCCCCTTTCCAAGTATTGAGCAATATTGCTTAAGGCTTATCAGTACTGTGCATGATCTCTAATGTTTTGTGATTTTCTATCTCTTGTTTTCGCAGACCTTTAGAAATAAGCAGTTTCTTGCCAAACAACAGTCAGTTTGTCTGACATCCGTCTTCAAAAATCACCAAGGATGCAATGGATCCTACTTTCCGTCAAAAAGATCAATATCCAAGAGGGTATAGCATGAGTATTCGCCTCAATCGCGCTTTTATTCTTCCTGACATATTTTTCACTCTTTTTTCGTCATTTTGATAATTTAATGAAGTAATTTCATTCGTTCAGATTTGAAAATCTTACATTGTATAATTTATATATTAAAAAAATTCTTTAAATAAATGAATTGAGTTATCCATCTTGCCGTAACTGATATAAGGCAACTGCTAGACATGTGGTGCATGGTCTGAGGATATAATTAAAAATTATTCTTATATTTAGGACCAGAGGTAGTAATATTTATTGAGTAGTAAACTTAGGCTGGAATTGTATATAGCGTTTGGTTCAGTGATGGAGCCTCTGTTTGCCCCAACTCCGGTATTGTGGAAGCAACAACATTACAATATCTCATGTATTATATTTGTGCTAATCTTCTTCCAGTTTTGTACTTGTTTGTCCTGGATATTGGCATGGTGAATGAATGACTAGGAGTGGTGAAACTGAGATGCATCATTTGGACTTTGACCGGTTTGCTTTATACCTATGAAGAATTCATGTGATTATTTCTTTGATAAAGATCTCCTACTAAGAACAAGAAAATAAAATGGAAGCATGCATATCTCTCGTTAACGCATGTGAGTGTTTTTAAGGCGGATAAGTTGCTTGAATGAATATGTTTTCTTTCAACAAGGGGAGGTCCAGTTCCAAGATATCAACTGTTTTGACCGATGACAAGTCAACAATGTCATCCTTTGAGGATGACGCAGAGAATATTGGCATCTTTCGCATTGATCCAGGCCTAGAACCATATAAAGATCACTTCAGATATAGAGTGAAGAGATATGTAGAGCAGAAAAAGCTTATTGAAAAACACGAAGGAGGCCTTGAGGAATTTGCAAAAGGTAGTGATAGTTGTCTGCATTTCTACACTTGTGTTATCTGTTTCCAATCATAATTACTAAATGGGGATCACTGCTTAAATGCAATGCATTTGTTCCTACGGAGTGTGCATTGTAGTTGTCTGAGCTATTACACTTCTGTCTATACTGGAGAATCCATCGGGACTGTTAAATCGATCAGCTTCTGAAATATATATGTCGTTTGCCTGTTAACTGTATTGATGTTCTCTTCCCCATACTGGACTGCCTAGCTAATTTGTTGGATTGATTGGAGTTAATCTTCAAGACCTCAATATAATATAATTTTTTTTTTTTCCTACTTCCTTTACTCATCTCTCTGTTGATGCGTGTGCTTGCAACTTGGTTGATCTCCTTGTCCCCAAATTAATTTGTCTCATTGCTTTGTTTAATTGACTTCAGTCTCATCTTCAATATTCATTGTAACTTTTCATTCTCTTCTTTCTTCCTCCCTTCTCGCTATTAGGTTATTTGAAATTTGGGTTCAATAGAGAAGAGAATGGTATTATATACCGTGAGTGGGCACCTGCTGCTCAGTAAGTTACCTATGAGGATGTAAATAAGTCTACTTCATTTGGCATCATTCTTTTTTAGTTTCTTTTTAATGTTACGTATCTTACAATTTAGGGAAGCACAATTAATTGGGGACTTCAATGGATGGGATGGATCCAACCACAGGATGGAAAAAAATCAGTTTGGTGTTTGGAGTATAAAGATTCATGATTGCGATGGGAATCCAGCAATACCTCATAATTCAAGAGTCAAATTTCGATTCAAACATGGTGATGGAGTTTGGGTTGATCGCATCCCTGCCTGGATTAAATATGCTACTGTTGATCCTACAAGGTTTGCTGCCCCATATGATGGCGTCTATTGGGATCCAGCACCTTTAGAGAGGTCTTGTTCTTCTCATAGAATTTGTATGATATTGTGCTTTTCATTACAGCCAACAAAGCATGACATCTGAGGATTATTTCTTAAATGGACTGCAAATGCATGCAACATAACATTGTAACTATTTTGACAATTATATAACAGTCTAAGCTTCATTGCAGTGTGGCTTATCTTGAAACTTTATCTTGTTCTGGTGTTATTTGTAAGAAAAACGGAGAATGTCATTTTGTTAATTCATTCCTTATGTGTTTTCACCACTCTATTTATACTCCTATTGCAGGTATCAGTTCAAATATCCTCGGCCACCAAAGCCCAGTGCCCCACGGATATATGAAGCCCATGTAGGAATGAGCAGCTCCGAATCCCGAATAAATTCTTACCGAGAATTTGCAGATGATATTTTGCCCCGTATTCAAGCAAATAACTATAACACAGTCCAGTTGATGGCTGTGATGGAGCACTCCTATTATGCATCCTTTGGCTATCATGTAACAAATTTTTTTGCTGTAAGCAGTAGATCTGGAACCCCTGAAGATCTTAAATATCTAATAGATAAGGCCCATAGCCTAGGTTTACGGGTTTTGATGGATGTTGTCCATAGTCATGCCAGTATTAATGTTATTGATGGACTCAATGGCTTTGATGTTGGCCAAGGTTCCCAGGATTCTTACTTCCACAGTGGAGAAAGAGGCTATCATAAATTGTGGGATAGTAGACTCTTTAAGTATGACAATTGGGAAGTTCTTCGTTTTCTTTTATCTAATTTGCAGTGGTGGATTGAGGAGTTCAAATTTGATGGGTTTCGGTTTGATGGAGTAACATCGATGCTGTATCATCACCATGGAATCAATATGACTTTTACAGGGAATTACAGTGAATATTTTAGTGAGGCAACAGAAATGGATGCAGTTGTCTATTTGATGCTGGCTAATTGTTTGATCCATAATATTTTACCAGATGCAACTGTCATAGCTGAAGACGTTTCTGGCATGCCTGGACTTGGTCTACCTGTTTCAGAGGGAGGCATTGGTTTTGATTATCGTCTGGCTATGGCCATCCCAGACAAGTGGATTGACTACCTGAAGAACAAGAAAGATGATGAATGGTCTATGAAGGACATCTGTTGGAGTTTGACAAACAGGAGATACACTGAGAAATGTGTATCATATGCAGAAAGTCACGACCAGGTATGAGCTCAGCCAATAATCATTAAGTTCTATCTCATGCTAGTTATCACACTTAGAATTATCCTAAAATGTTGGCAAAATCAGTTTTGTACGTGGCTTAACAATGGAAACTCCTGAAGACAGCTAAGAATTTCTCATATTTCTTTGTCTTTTTGCATTCTGTTTCTATAAAAGAAAAAACAAAATTCCTTGTGCAGGCCATCGTGGGGGACAAGACTATGGCATTTTTGCTTATGGATAAAGAAATGTATTCTGGCATGTCTTGCTTGACAGATGCTTCTCATACAATTGAGCGAGGGATTGCTCTTCACAAGGTTATACCGCAGATCATAAAGTTTGGTTTTTACTAGTTGTTAAAGTTTTATTTTACCAATTTTAAGGCCCACCAAGATTTTTGGGAGAATTATAATCAAGTCCCAGGGAAGGGATTTAATTATCCTAAAGTCCATTAACAAGTGAAAAGCATGCAATGACAAGTTGTAGAGTAGGGAATGATAATAAGTTCAAGTTGGTCACTATGATTGGGATTTTTTGATAATTAAATTTCTTTTTTGAGACTTCTTGATAATTCTCCCAAGATCTTTCGTGTTTAAGAGCTGTAGCAATGATGTGATTAACAATCCCAAAACTGCTACTATGACACTGTGCTGCTTTATTATGTTCTTGTACTCATTGTTATTTTAATCCTTTTTAGATGATACACTTCTTAACCATGGCATTAGGTGGGGAAGGCTACCTTAATTTCATGGGCAATGAGGTATGTGCACTGGTCCATGCTTTTGCCTGCAGAACTGCAACCGCCAGTCATAGTGTAGTGCAGCCCACCCATGAGAGTTACATGTCTCTAGTCTAGAGACGTTCGTGCATATCACTCTTATTGCTATAGAAGGATAACATGTATTATTATCTATTCAGTAATATTCATGCCTACTTTTTTTAGTTTGGCCATCCGGAATGGATTGATTTCCCTAGAGAAGGCAATGGATGGAGTTATGAGAGATGTCGTCGACAGTGGAATTTGGTGGATACTGACCACTTGAGATATAAGGTAATTTAGGAGCAAGGAATATCTGCTCTTCTCTCTTTCTTTTCCTTTTTGGGGGGTCTCCTGTGTCCATATATATTCAACTTTTTATTATGAAGATTTGTCAAGAGGTTTGCAACCACACGTAATTTCCTATATTTATGTAAGAAATGTGCATTGTTGCACTACATGTTTTGGTGTCGTGCAGAAAGCCAATACGTGTGTAAAACTCCTTTATTCTTGCAGCTTATTATATATACACAAAATTATGCACCTTTTACATTTCTCCTTCTGGAAATTGTGCAGTTCATGAATGCATTCGACAGAGCTATGAACTTGCTGGATGACAAATTTTCATTCCTCTCATCAACAAAACAAATTGTGAGCAGCACAAATGAAGAAGAAAAGGTGTTACTTCTTATGATCGTTGATAATCTGATAAATTTTTCAAGTCAATTAAGATTTGGTATGATTCCATGACCTTTTTAAACTATGGAGTACTTTAAATCAGCAATGTCATGGGCTTTTTAAAAAACATAATTAAGGCGTCTCAGAAATTAGAGACTGTTATGAACCTCTACTATAGGAAGACTTAAATTAGAAATAGATAACAAAGACTGGGAATAATTGAAATTGATCACAATATCACTGCATAACTAAATTAGATTACAAGGGGTAGGATGACTCAAGACACACATCACTCTCTTATACTCAGAGACATGAACAACAGCAAACTCACAAGAAACAGAGCACAGACCACAACACAATGACACTGAAGACTCCCTAAAGCAGAATAGGGTTGCCAACCTTTCGAGAGCTTGGCAATCTCCCCTCCAAGGACCAAAACCACATTTCAAAATTTTCCACACCTCCTGCAGAACCAAAGGGATGATTTATAGACCCCAAAAGTGACTTTCAAACTCCCCAAAATAACCCTCTCAGAGCCTTTGACCATAGTCACCCTACAGCTACCCTATTTGTCTATTTCTTTCTCCAAAATAGGAATGCAAAGTTCTGACCCACAAAAGCATCTTTTCCCTATTCATGTATGTTCCTAATTTTCTAAAAGTAATCCTAACAGAGACAGCTATTAAATGCATTGAGCTGGTTTAACACATTGTTCCATCAAAATTTAATGGCCTTTTCTTTTACAGGTTATAGTCTTTGAGCGAGGTGATTTGGTATTTGTGTTCAATTTTCATCCGGAGAATACTTATGAAGGGTATGTATTAATGGGGTGTTTTGTTTGTATGTTTGGGGAATTTGTAAAAGCCTGAGCACAAATTATTTGACTGATATGTTGAGCCAATAGGTATAAAGTTGGATGTGACTTGCCCGGGAAATATAGAGTTGCTCTCGATAGTGATGCTTGGGAATTCGGAGGACATGGAAGAGTAAGGAATGCTACTCTCTGAAGCTGAAGTTAGTTATTAGCTGCAATGGACTCTCCCTCTCCCTGATCTTTAAAGCTCAAACCAACCGATAAAAAGCATACCAATCTTTTCCTTTTACTGATGGCAAAGTTCCATATTATTATCTGCTAGGTGGGGCATGATGTTGACCACTTTACATCCCCAGAAGGAATTCCAGGAGTTCCTGAAACAAATTTCAACAATCGTCCCAATTCTTTCAAAATCCTCTCCCCTTCTCGTGCTTGCGTGGTATGTTTGTATGTAAAATTTTAAGCTCTCTCTTGGACTTCCCTTTTCCTTTTTGGTCATGCTGGTTCCTATGATGATTATTCATGATTTTATGTTGGAAGGAACTCAAACATAACAGAGTAATATCAAATACTACCTCCTATTCTTAATATAAGAGCTAGTTGACTAATTTGAATAGACTAAAAAAATTAGTTAAGTTATTTGTAATAAATAAGTATTGTTTTTTCTAAAATATCCTTACTAATCAAGTGTATTGACTAGAACTATTTTATTATAAGTACTATCTTCGAAAAAAAAAGATAAATATAAGAGACAAATTAGATTGAGGTGTTATAGTTAGGACCAAAATAAAAATTAAACGAGTTCTTATACTAAGGATTGGAGGTAATAAAAAATAATTTGTATATCTTTCTTTCATGAAACAGCATGGCTTTTTGCCATGGGCTTCTTAAACATGTCAAAATGATGTGAATCCCTAATGCCAAGTCATTTTGTATTCCAAAGGTATATTATAGAGTGGAAGAGAGCCAAGAAGAAGACAATAACAGCACTTTGGTCGGTGTTAAAGACGCATATGCTGCATCAGACATTGCCAAAAATCCTGAAGGATACGTGGAAAGTGAAGTTAGTAATTTGACTGGGGTAGAAGAGACATTAGATGATGCGGCAACTGTTGTGGAGATTACTGAAGAACAAGCTTATACAGGAAGTGAGGGTTCTAAAGGCAAAACAGAAGACGCAAAAATTCCATCAGATGTTGCCAAAAATCTAGAAGGATCGGCTTTCGTGGAAAATGAAGTTAGTGGTTTGATTGAAGTGAAAGAGACGGCAGCTGGATCAGACATTAGAGAGATTCCTTAAGACCTGTCTTCAGTAGGTAGTGAGGTTGCTTCATGCAAAACAGAAGACGCAGGAGTAGGCAAAAAATGGTGAAGGAACGTTGCATAACTGAGAACCTATATCCGTTGTAAATATTAGCAGTGTTTGGCTTTCTACTAGTGCACATGAAGGATTGGCGGGTTTTTGGGTGGTTTAAAGGGAGCTAGATGTAGATCTGGAGAAACCTTTGCCTCTTTGACACTTGATGTGGAATTAGACAACTTATCGTTTAGAGATAGAGGGTGTATCTAATGAACGCAGATAGATTGTTGCTTCATTCAATAAAGGAGGCGCAGACTTGTTATTTTTTTTATTTTTCCTGAGAGGTGGGGTGGGAACAGATGGATGGCGAAGCAATATCACATAACTAAGAATCTATATCCGTTGCAAATAGCAGTGCTTCGCATACTATTTCTGCTTATGGACAGGCAGGCTTTTGGGTGTATGGAGGAGTCTAGTATAGATTTTGGAGAGATGATTCGCGCCTTCAACTTTCCGGTAAACGCAGATAGATGGATTATTCTGCCACACTTTCATTGCTCAACATATAAAGCTTCAGAGGAGAGAAAAACTGCGTAGTAAAGAAGCAAGAGGGGCTTATCTTTTCCAAAGTAATTACTAGTTAAGGGAAGTCGCTCTCCGGAAATTGAAAAAACCTACGGGGTATTTCAAAATTGAGTGAAATTGAGAACTCCCAAGTAATTACAGCAAACGATTCCGCTGATAAGGAAAGTAACAAATATCTCCAAACACCTAAGACATAGTACAGGATTATTCAAGAGCCAAGGATCATTTTCACCTAAGAAGTCATCCATCAGCTTACTCCGTTATACTTAAAAAAGATGAGGCTAAATTCAGTATGAAGTATCAATTGCTGGTTCATCTTGAAAAGTGATTCCAACGACAAGCATAAGACTCAAGAGCCATAGACCACAATAAAGCCGCTTCTCTTTTTCATTAATAAACAAGAATTATATAAAGGCAAGAAAAAAAAAAATCAAATCCTCCGAACCCTTGAAGCCCCAATTTTCTTGTCTAACCCACTAGTTAATTTCTCAAAGTTCGAAGGCAGGGGAGGAAGCTTTTTATTTCCTTTGGTCATGCTTCTGAGCATGTATCGGGGAGCCTCCGGTCGCTCCATCGAGCAAGTCGCCGAAACGGATTTCCGCAAGCTCTCAAGTTTCTTAGAACTGCTCTTCTTCGCCGACTCCACAGCTACGCCAAGATTATACGCAGGCGCTTTACTATAAGCTCCTGTCTTCTTTCTCTTCAACCGCTCGTTTCTTTTAGCAGAGTATTCATCATAAAACCTTCCCCGCTCAAACAGTGTCCCGGAATTCACACCGAATGAATTGGCAAATGCGATATTTTCGGAATCCGTCTTCCCCAGTTCTTCGCGAACCATCTTCGTCAGAGCCCGTAATTCACAGGAAATCGTGCGGTACTCGGGTCGAAGTTCAGATTCCTCGATGTTCTGGCAGCCAATTGGCTTTTTGGATTCGGTCAACGAACCTAATTCAACCACGGAAAATACATTAAATAAAAGAAAGTGAAACAAATGGCCGAGCCAACGATCGATATCATTGATCTAATTGTCCAGCCGAACCTGGTGGTGTTTGAAGCGAACAGGAGTTTGATGGACGGAGAACTCGGCGTGGTCGCAGACGCATCGGCGATTTAGCGAGAGGAGGCTTACGATCCGATTTCATCTTGGAAACAGAGTACATAGTTGAGGTCTTCAGGAAAGCGATGAGTAACTTTAAATTGAGCGAGTGCGGAGAAAAAGAAAAGATGATTGAGAAAGAATGTGGTTTGGAGTTTGGCACTTTTTTAATTAATGGGACTACAGACGCACCTCTATTTGAAAAATTTAAACCAAGACTCTGGGAGCAGTAGACGCTCGCCTCCAACGGTCAAATTTTGGATCAGACGGCTTAGATGCTCGGAGCGGGATGCATAACATGACTCCAAAGTCCAAGCTGGAGAGGGGGAATTTGAAGGCTACAGTGCGGGTCCCACAGGTTTTGGGCTCTATTTGGCACGAGGTATCAAGGAGTTGGCAAAGCCCACTTCGGTACAGTTAATTGGAAAATTAATTCAAGATTGAAACTTTCCTAACCAAAGTATGCTCTCCCTCCTCAGCAAGCATTGTTCTCCTTCTCCCTTGTCTCATCTTTGATCTGGAAATTTGTTGTTTCTATTCTCCGTGTTAGATAGATATATGAAATAAAAGCTACTCTTCCGGTCCTAAATGTAAGACCCTTATACTAGTGTATATAAGGGTCTTACATTTAGGACCGAGGAGTATTTATTCACTCCCATCGCATAACATAGAAGTACATGATTTTGGAACACTCATAAGAATACATGAGTGATGTAATTATGGAGGAGAAAAAGATGACACGTAATATTAATATGATGGGGGGTTATATGCCTTTGGGTCAGCGGTAATATTTGTTTGGGGGATGAGGTGGGCCAACCTATCTAGTTTTCCTTTGATAAAAACAACCTACAAATAGAAAAAAGATTGGGGCAGGAGACCCAATAAGATTTATATCCAACTATATTTATAAGTTAAGACTAAATGAAAAGGACTTGGATACTTTAAGCATTATGTTTCACATTTGATTTTGACGGTGATGTGTATGGAAAAAAATAATGTTGGGAGGAGTTCCTGTTACAGCGTCTAACAGTATTCTTACTGTTTGGATGGGAGAATATACTGGTTAACAAAAAAAAAATCTATATAAATGTGAATCCTATTAAAACAATTGATTTTTATTTAACTCTAGATTTTTTTTAAAAAAAAGAAGAAAAAGGTTAAGCTCTTACAATGCAAATGTTATCTAAACAAGTTATGCGTGTTCGCAAGTTCTCCTCGTCGTTCCAATCAAATATGATATTTACCATTCCCGCTGAACAGTCGCTGCAATTTCTTCAAGGTTACGCAAGGATGAGGATTGTTTTTGTGAGGAACATGGCGATAACGTTAGGAGATGAAGATGCTTCGAACTCCACAACACCGCAATAAAAGTCTTTGCGTATTCAGAGACATAAAGCAACAAACGTTGCAGATGCTGAGATTGTATATTGATGTAAGAATACAAATAAATTTCTCCAATAAAGGCGAATACAGTCAATATTATTGATGGAATACCGTATTTTAATTAAACAAATCAACACAATTGATGGGGGGGAAAATGAAAGCACATGTATATAGACTCTGCCCATGACATTATTTGTTGTCTTGACCCATGGGATGAGGTTGTGCTTTTGACTTCTCCCTGTTGAAGTCAACATTGAACTTTGGAGGGAATCAAGAGCCAACACTGGAATGTCACGAAGGAATAAGTTTTGAGAATCAGGCTCGTGTTAGTGGCAGCGAAAACATTTGATTAAATGAGCTGTAGCAGCCAGGACTCGGATCGGACACGGCTGTTGACCAAGCATCCAAAATGAAGTGTCGCAGAAATGCAAAATGGAAACAAACCAGCTGGCCAATTTACTCTACATGTCCGTTCTTTTTAATTAAACAAGCCACCTGATGAATTGTACTGCTGTTTACCCTGCATCTCATTTTCTACAACAGAAAGAATGCAATAAATTTGATGAAAAATAAAATAGCCGCCCATGAGTGCCGAACTCAAAACCGAGAAAAAAATATGGGAAGGCCGGGACAGAGGGAGGAAGCCGCCCCCAGTGTGTGGGTCTTTTTTATTTATTTATTATGTTTGTTTGTTTTACTAGACAAACTGGGCGAGGCGTTATCATAATATCTGTGTCTGAAAAGCTACAGATCTGGCCATCCCATTCCCTCCGCCCAGGCCTCAAGGCAATGCTGGAGTCATTCCTTGGAGGCCATTCTTTACGACGACTAATCATGATTTTATAAATATAACAGAAAATGTTACAATGAAATCCTTTTTCTGACCGCCCTTGTTCGCTTCCATTTTCTCCCTCTGCAATTTCGCTCTTCTTCTGAGCGGGGTGCGCTCCTCCGTTCTCCATCAATGGCATTTCACCGGCGCCGTCTCCACTATCACCAGCGCTTTCGCTGTCTGGTTCCTTTCATTTCTGCCATCGCTGCTGCTTTGCTCATTCTCTTCGCTCTTCTCTCCCTTTTAGCTCCTTCCCCCGTCGATACCGCTCATCTTCACCGGAGCCGCCGCCAATCCTCGGTACTTTTCCCGCCTCTTCCTCTCTTTCCCTCAAACTCACAAACGTAATTCATGATGATTCATATTTGGATTCCTGACCCTTTTACCCCAATTCTTGTCTAGTTCGAAGCCGAAGCAGATGACGCGATTGGAGTACTCTCGTTTAGCATTCCGGTTAGGGTTCATATGACTTGTTTAGCTGGCTGGCTTATACATGTGTTTGTGTTCCGTACTTGATGCTGGATTTCTTCTTGTATCTCAATTCGGTATTTGTGCTTTGTTTTAATTCCTGATAATCAGACCGATGGAGGAAAGTTAGATCGCGATGTCTGGAGCACTAGAAATTCCGAGTTTTTCTATGGCTGCAGCAATGCAAGCACCAAGTTTCCAAGTGCGTATCTCATTGCACCATGTCTGATCAGTTCCCTACTGAAGTGTTGCGATGTAAAACTACTAATTTCAGATTAGAGGGGCGTGCCTCTCTCTTCTGAGTCCTAAATGCTACCTTTATTTGATTCCATATATTTAAATATGACAAAAACTATGGTTTCATATGGCAGAAGCTGAAGTGATTACGCAACCTAATCGATATTTGATGATTGCAACTAGTGGAGGTTTGAATCAGCAAAGAACAGGGGTAACTTATATGAGCTCGTGTCATTAGTGTAATGAAGCAGTATTTCATATTTATTTCTTGTTTCTCTGAATGGTCTCTCGTGATGGTTCTGAAATTTATAATTCAGATATTCAAAAGCATAACGTGCTTTTTGTTAAAAGAAAGAGAAAAAGAATCAACAGAAACAATATGTTAATGTGATGAATCAATCAATTGATTATCTTTCTTGTGATAATTTTATAATGTTATCATTGAATGGAGATGAGTTATCGAACTTGGAGCATATTAACAAAATAAGCATGAAGAATTTTCATCTGCATTCAAACAAGGCTGCAGAAATGCACCGCACATTTTTGTCCATTCTGATGTTCATGGATGCTTTTTCATTTTCTTGAAACCTTGGAATTGTTAAATTCCTGGTTTGAGATGCAAGACTTAGAGATGATGAACCCTCTGAGGAACTTGTAAACTGTAAAGTATTATCTTCAAGATGATGACAGTTATCGAAAAACCATACTTGGCTTTTTCTTCCATTCCTTCTTGTAATGGAAAATCTTATGAATTCTATTGTTTGCTGCAAAGTCTGACCTATAGATGCAAACTTCCTGTCTAGAGATTTTTTCTGATTAGAACGAGGAAATTTATTGTATTTCTTGATCACTGGCTTTCCATGTTGATTACAAATAATTACGTATTGTTGGGCCCACAACTAATGAACCAGTCTTGTGGCTATGGGCTTTTGAGAGAGAGGAGGGAGGTGCTGGGCATATATTGTGTGTGTGGGGATCAGGAGGGCAGATGATGAGGAGTTTGTAAGTGAATTAATGTAGAGAACCTATGCCTCTTGAATGCCCAGGGACCTTGGTATGATATTTATGCCATGTTCTTATGTTCCAGAAACGTGTAGCTAATCTAGCTAAACCTACTCTCTGGCTGGATTTTATTAAATAGTACATTTGAGTTGTTGGGTTCCATCACATACCCCTCTGTCAATATCAACCTTTTCTTTTCTGCATCTGGCCCTGGCAGATAACAGATGCTGTTGTTGCTGCACGAATTTTGAATGCCACTCTTGTTGTTCCAAAGTTGGACCAAAAATCTTATTGGAAAGATTCTAGGTCAGTTATGAAAGGAACTATATTTTCCTACGCCCTGTTTAATTATGCCATTGCTGTTAAACTATTGTGCCATTATTGGTGATGAAATTTTTGAATGTAAAATATTGTCATGCTTTGCCTTTTGCAGTAACTTCTCACAGATCTTTGATGTTAATTGGTTTATCTCCTATCTGAAAAACGATGTCAAAATTATCAAGCAACTCCCTAGAAAGGGAGGGAAAACGTTAACTCCATACACCATGCGTGTTCCAAGGAAGTGTAATGAAAGATGCTATATAAACCGTATAGTACCTGTACTTCTGAAGAAGCGAGTAAGTTTTATATTTCCAAAAGCCTTTTCTATCGCCTATTTCTTGTATAACTTATTAGATGCTTTAACGTTATCTAGAGGACTTTGTTGTCATCTGTCTGTTTGATTGCTGCTTGTTGTGCGGAAGACATCAAATATTCAAGTTATATGATCCGTGATATATTATATGATTAACAAAACTTGACTTGGCATTTCCTTACTTATATTTCATTGATCTAGGCGATTTGTCTGTAAAAAATATGGTATTCAATGCTTTACATGGAATTTCTGAAGTCCTTTTTTTAATGCTAGAAGAAAAAACCAGGACTCAAGGATCAGTATGGTCAAATGTTAGTGTAACTTGTTGAGGCCAAACTAGGTTCCAAGTCATTAGTAGTGTTTGCGAGTTTCCCTCTTTGCTTTTCTCATATTTTCATTTTTAGGGTAATATGTAATTCTCATATCTTGCATTAATATGTGGACCTAAGTTGAACTCAATCACTTAAGCTTTCTGTTATATCAAGTGTTATCAAGTATTTTTTTATGATTTTAATAGAAAATTTAAGCTTATTATGCATGATTCTTATATGTTAAGGACTAGAGTCCAAGTGGGACGGATCTTATAGTAACTTTATTTAGACGAATTATATTATTCAATTGAGTGTGATCAACGCTTGAATTTTCATCAACTGGTTACTGTCTCTTATTTGTCTGATGCATTTGAACGGCAAGCGCTGATGTTTAAATCACCTGAATCTTTAATGTTGGCCAGGCGATCTCATCATAATGCTACTTGCACTATTCATCTTAATACTGCCTCAAACCTATATTGTTCACAGATACTGTTCATTGTAATTTAATATCCCCAGATTTTGTGATTGTTAATCATTTTTTAGCAAACAAAACTTTCTATATTAATTAAACTTTCAAATCATGAGTTCCCAAATTTAGCCTCCATAAATTTGTAGTTAATTTGCTTCTATTCTGAATTTCATCAGCCAAAAAGCTTTCAACTTTAGGGTTCTCTCCATGATTGATGAACTTTTCCATATTCCTTTAAAAAGTTTTTGGTTTTAGGAGTAACTTTTGCCAAACCAAAATGGCATGTTTTATGCATATGAAACTGTGAAAGGTGTTGAAGATTCTTGAGAACGAATGAAAGTACTAGTGAATTTCAACTGTTGCTTTGTTTCTGCAATCTTTATCCCCTTTGGATAGAGCACCTTTTATTTATTAAATTTTTACGATCGCATCATATATCTCCATCACTTTGTGTGTCAAATAATTTAGTAGTGGTTGAGACTTTGAGTTTAAGCTTTTATTGTCAGGTCATATTTTTCTGATTGATTTCGTGTAGGGGTCAATGCTTGAATGTTTGATTATCTCAAAAAGATATTATTATCATTGTTACTACTACTTTTCATTTTTTTGTGGCAGGCTGTCCAGCTCACCAAGTTTGACTATAGGCTTTCTAACAGGTTAAGTACAGATTATCAAAAGTTGAGATGTAGAGTTAATTACCATGCTTTAAGGTTTACTGACCCAATATCAGCAATGGGTAAAAAGTTGGTCAGTCGAATGAGGAGGAGAAGCAAGCATTATATTGCGCTGCACCTGAGGTAGTCTGATTGATTTTTGATATTTTATTATCTTGTTATTATCCATATTCAGTTCAAATGTTCAAGTCACCAGTAACAGATGGAGTGATCAGTAGATCACCATCAAAACTCTGTATATTAGCATTACATAAGTGTGCAGGGCCATGTTTTTCAGTAGATCACCTTGTGTAATTATAATTGCATACAGACATGAATCAATTCTTTGGCTCAAAAAAAGGTCCTAATTAATTCTTGGCTGCTGTGATACATGCCATTTTGCATCCATGTTCATATTCAATTCGTTGGGGTATGTGCTTGGAAATTGAATAATCAGTATCACGTAGTTTTTACATGTTTTCTGCCAATTTGAAATTCAAGAATGATCAGTTTATGGACTTGGACGGTTTTGGCTGAAGGATGGCGTTATGCAACAACTAATATGATTTAAGTTGGAACAGTGGCTTCAGGTGGCAGATTTAATCAGAGTTTTTTTTTTTCAGTCTTTTGAGTATCTAAGTAATATATCTAAAAAGTTAGTTGTTATTTTCAGTCTTTTGAGTATCTAAGTAATATATCTAAAAAGTTAGTTGTTAATAGATTACAATGGTCAGGTAAAAAAAAAAAAAGATTACAACGCCATCCTTCTTCTTCTTCTTCTTGTTTAAACCATCTAGCCAAGGGACAACAAGCTGATTAGCTTTGGTTAATGGGCAATTCCTGGAGTCATTTTTTTACTTTTCGTGGGTGACAACTCCTTGACTCATTTGAAAAACTTCTTTGGTTCAATGAAGGGGACCAACGATAATTATTTATTTAGATAGTCGCCTAGGGTTCTTTACCATGTTTGGCAGGTCTAGGAAAGGGGTAAATGATAAGGCAAGCAGAAGTGTGTCATACTCGCGGGTCTTGTGTTTGAAACAAGGCTTTCATATTTAGGAACATGATGGGAAACATAATTAGGATTATTTCATTGCTGTCCCAAGATGGTTGGGATCCTTTGTTTTATTTGAATTGGGATGTTTTATTGGGATGTCTGGATTATCTTTAGATTTGTTCAGTTTAAAAGTAGCCAATTGGGATTTATCTTTTATCTAGATTTAAATAATCTGAATGAAGTTTATCTCATCATTAGGATTATAGTAATTTAAGTAGGATTAGGAATGTGGTTCTATGAATAAGTCCTGGGACCATTTACTTTTTGCCCATTGAATAATAGTCAAATTATTGCAGTTCTCTCTCCCTGAATTTTTTTCTATTTTCTCCCGCTTTCTTCTCAAATACTCCCTCCTCTCCCCTTCTCCCTCCCCTTCCCTTCATTGTTTTACTTCAGAGTAACTTGTGAGGTTGTTTCTAGATCTGACTATAGTTTCCTGTTGCAGATTTGAACCTGATATGCTTGCATTTTCTGGATGTAACTATGGTGGAGGAGAGAAAGAGCAGAAGGAACTGGGGGCGATAAGGAGGAGGTGGAAGACATTACATGTAAGGTTTACATGTTTCGAAAATAATTGAATGTGAAAAACGATCGTATTTTGTTTAATTTCAGGAATCGTTTTGGTATGCTTGAGTGCACCTCATATCACCCGGTTTATGTGTGTTACGGTTACTGGAAGTTTTCTATGTTGTAAAATTGACATGAAGTTGTGAAAAATGCCTTCTATGATAGCTGATTCTAATTCCAAAAAGAGAAGAAACAAGACAAAACAAACCATAAAGTATGGACTTGGTGAGCATTAAAAGGGGCTTTTTTTTTTTAATTGAATTGCAGAGGAACAATCCTGACAAGGCAAGGAGGCAGGGAAGATGCCCATTAACCCCGGAAGAAGTTGGTCTCATGCTAAGAGCGTTGGGGTATGGTGCCGATGTTCACATATATGTAGCATCAGGGGAAGTCTATGGTGGGGAAGAAACATTGGCTACTCTCAGAGCGCTATTTCCTAACTTCCATACAAAAGAGACTATTGCCACCAAGGAAGAATTAGAACCATTTTCTTCATTTTCTTCTCGCATGGCTGCACTTGACTTCATTGTTTGTGACGAAAGCGATGTATTTGTGACAAACAACAATGGAAATATGGCAAAAATATTAGCTGGGCGAAGGTATATAATATTTCATTTGCTTTACATATCTCGTGCTTTCGCATGATCACTGTTACCTAAGCATGCTGGTTAACTTTGATATTTCCTGTAGGAGATACTTTGGGCACAAACCAACTATTCGTCCAAATGCTAAAAAACTCTATCGGTTGTTCCTGAGCAGAACTAACATGACTTGGGAAGCTTTTGCTTCCGGAGTTCGTACTTTCCAGAGAGGCTTCATGGGAGACCCAAAGGAAGTTAGACCGGGAAGGGGTGGGTTTCACGAGAATCCCTCTACCTGTATATGTGAAGATTCTGTGGCCAATAAAAATATAATTTCTGGACCAAGGAAGTTTGGGAAGGATGTGAGCAAGAGAAATTTTGTAAATGGAGACCCTAATGCTGACAATGAGCCTGATAATGACGATGATGAAGATCAGAATGATATCCAGGAGATGGGTATGTTCAATGAAACCATTTCGGATTATGAAGCTCTGAACTCTGATGATAATGAGCTCGAGGAAATTCTTTCTGATTAGTGAAGCTGGCCAGACTAAGCATTGCTGGACATGGACGCTTTCATTATGACTTTTTCCCGCTTCGCATCCCCTTGAATGGCTACTGCCTGAGCCAAAAATGCAATATCAAATCCAGGCATATCGGAAAATGAAAATGTGTGCATATCTTTCTTAACAACGCAGGAGCGTGTGAAAATATACCAGGAGCATGTTGTACGTCCAAAGGACATAATAGCGCCTCATTTTGAAGATGGACCGTGTTGGGACTTGGTATTTCCATTTGTGAAAATATGCCAGGATCAGAAGTGAGCATTGGGAATGGGAATGAACGTAAGTATAAGTTGAGAGCTTTACTGTATTGCGTTTGATATACTGTATATCTTCGTTCATAAAATTCATCTCAGTTGATACTGTATGTATATTCCTTCTCCCGGCCCCCTTTTTTAGAGCCTCTCGGGGGAGCCTTACCCTATGAGCTGACCTAGTTTTCTGGTTTCGCCTTTAGCTATGAGAGGAAGACATCTGCAGTTCTGTGCCAAAAGAGGAGGGTTGTGGCATAATTAAAAAGAAAGATACAAGGGAAAAAAAGAAGGGTTTAGGATGATTTTCCTATTGGACAACATATGCGCATTGACATTCGTTTTTCTAACATTCTTTTGTTCTTGATATTTAATCTCTAATCTGGTACGGCAGACTTAGCCTCCGCATGTTGAAACTATTTTCTTAATGAAAGTCACTTTTTTTTTTTGGGAAAAAATTTAACTTAATGAGATTTTCTGTTTGCTTAAGCTTTTTGGAAGTAATGAGAATCTCAAAATGGAAAGGGTAGGTTTCTAATTAATTTGAGAAGCTTTAATGAAAATAGTCAGATGCAGTAAGCATGCGAGAGCATCACAAGAATATTACAAAATTTGAAAAGTAGCAAACAAATAAATAGTTTTTTCATTTGGTTTAGCCCTTTAAAAAAATCCTTTATTAAAGCCCCGTTGGGCAGATATGGAGATTCACAAATGATTTATCGGATCTTCACTGCTTCTTCCGCATTGATTTGCGCTCGTTTTTCATTCATTGTTTGCTAGGGAGGGAGGGAATGAGAGGTAAAAGTAGGAATAGACCATCGCAATGGTGGTGGGGAAGGGCTAAAGGAGTCGAATCCCGGTTAACGGTGGTGAATGATCGAGGAACAAGAAGTAGGATTTTCCTTTGTTTATTGGGGATCTTAGATTAAAAAAAATAAAAAATAACATCATAGCAAATAGATCCACCGCGTGAGTGTTTCATTTCGTTAGTTGGGCCCTCAAGAATACGGCGTAAAGTCGGGAGATCAACAGCTTGACGCTTGCTGCAGAAAAGCTTGTTCCATCCAAACTGAAAATCACCCTATCTCGGGGGAATCCAAATTTTTATAGCATCTGGTCTATCACATAATCAAAGCGAAGTGAAGGAAAGGGAAAAAAATGATAGCCAAAAGAATGAATAAATGATTAATCCACAACATTCTTACAGGTAATGTTCCCCTCCTTATGATGAGACTCTTCGAGCTGGACTGGTAAAAGACGGCGACTGAAATCCAGTTCGTTGTGAAGAAGGCGGCTCTGATGGTGGGTTTAGGGTTTAGATGGTGGTGAACCAAAGTCCAAATTGGGAAAGACACCAGGTGGCCTCTCCTGGGGTTCGATGGAAAGTAAGTGGCTGGAATCGCCTACCACATCCGCCCATCCACAATGAGGTTCAGCCCTTCACAGATAGAGATTGTCAAAATCAAATCAAAACAGGACCAGACTACTAAGCTTAATCAAATACATTTTGGATTATATTCATTTCGCTATAATAAATAAATGCAAAAGGTAATCTTCTTTCGTTCCGTTGGTTCCTTTTTTGCCAATAATCATTTTTCTGTTTTTTTTTTTTGGGTGAAAAATCATTTTTCATTATTAGAAAAGTATGTTTGTACTCGTAATAGGTTTCCTCGCCCACAACGATATCCCAGCTTTCACCGGTTGTGCTATTGCCATATTTATGGACTTTCCTGATGCAGGGAAGCACCAAAATCAGTTAATTAGTGATCTAGCATGAAAACACAGCTCTTTAAAAAGCATTTCAAGGATGCATAGATTTTCAAATTTATTATAATACAAATCAACTTTTATATGCTCTGATTCCGTACCCGTTTCCGAAGTGTTCTTCCCCCCAAGTTCTTGACCAACCTGGTGAAAGGATGAAACTAGTTATATACAGTACTCTTCTTATCCTAAAGGAGTATAAAATGGATCTTACATTTAAGACAAAAAACAGTATAAAATTTGCAAGACAGTAAAACCAATTGAATAAAACACGAGACTAAGAAAAACCACCCAGCATGGTACATCTGTCAGCAACCAACCCTTTGAACGTGAACTGAGATAAGGTTCAGAGGGGAAGCAGGATCAATTAGAGAAAACCCATGGACGGATGTGTATATAATCAGCAGCTTGGAAGAACGATGTATTCCAGCTCTTGGGAGTCGACAAATGCAAATGATAATTCTTATGAGTTATAATGTTTTCCATATGAAGGAAATGGCCCAAGCCCCATCTTATCTAACCCAAAAACGGCAGAGATATACTCATGGCAAACTGGACCCAAGAATTTCAATCCTTCCCTACCCTATGAAGTGATTAAAACATTGGAGATTCGTATGTGCTAAACAGTACATGTAGAAATTGACACGGATAACTCAAGATCCAGACAAGTAACTTTATTCTTCAGTGAATTCCAAATTAGATCAAAAGATAAAAGATAATATGGAGTTTGATATGGTTTGGGTCCCTGGGGAAAGTCCAGCGTGACGATAAATCAGATGCAAGCTAAAGCTCTTAGAACTATTGAGAAATAAAAATAGCATGATGTAAACTGCAAGACTATCTCCAGGAGCCCAATGGAAATTTTCAATTGTATGAGCAATGGTTGCGGCTTGTGAACAAACATGTTAAAAGTCAAAGAAAAGAAAAGGAAAAGGAAGCGAATGAAGACATTACAAGTAAACCGAAATTATCACCAGAACAACATACGCTCATTGCTTGGAGATACATGCCACGTTTCTCCCTGTCGTGAACCTATGCCTTCGAAGAACCTCTCCTCCCACTTGTCTCCCCATTTTGTTCCAAGTTCAGTTTCAGCCCATTTATCTGTCCTGAGTAAGTAAAGGGGGAAAGGCAATTCAGAGCTATCATAAAAGTTAATTTTGGGCCGAAAATTTAGAGTGCTTACCCTGTAAAAATAATACTATCTCCAGTCCTAAATATAAAATCCAGTAAGATCCAGTACTAGATCTTATATTTAGGACCAGAAAAGGGGAATGGTAATAAATAATGTAATAGAAAACAGAACAAGAGTCCTAGCTAAATTGTCATAATGTAATGCTTATTGACACAGATTTTGGTCTTATCATCTTGCAGTAAGTATAATCCAAACTAAACATGTTCTCCATAACCGATTATCCATCAATTCAATCAACTCAACATTTGTTCAGACCCCAAAAGGAATTCTTAAAACAAAAATAAAGATTAAGTGCTACAAAAAAATTCAAAATTCAATTCCCTCAATCAACACAACTTTTGGCTCATATCATAGATAATAAAGCAATTCCAAAAAATTTACAGGACATCTTACAAAAGACTGCAGTAAAGGACATCAAAGCAAAAAAGTTTGAATGGATAATTTGAATGAACCATTTAAGAACAGAGCCTCTTCCATCGTAATGCTCCCCCCACTTTTCCCACCATGATTGTTCATTCAGTCTACCATACTTATGTGCCCCTTTCTCAGTCCAACCTTTAGCATCATATTTCTCCCACCTAACCAAATTGAACACAGTTAAAAATCGTAAATGAATTCAAGTCATAACCAATGTTTATACGATGACCACTACTGGATGTAAAGCCCTACATGAACTTACCATTTTTCATACCATCCAGCATTTTCCGTTCCTGATTTTGCTTGTTTTTGTGCACTCCTTTCGATTCTTGCAATGTTACTGTAATGTCAAACATGCAACACTTGTTAATGTCAAGAAGTCAAGGGGCTCAGTTAATTACAATAAGCAGAGAATAGCCAAATGAAAACTATGACCTCCATTCATCTTGATGAAGGTTTTCTTGCCACGTTTCCCACCATGAATCACCTTCAGCATTCCGACCAGATTTTTCCACGCCTGAAAAGAATTATAGACCCAATCAAATGGCCCTCTTGAGACAAAAATTTAGATTATCCAAGAGCTTGACAAATAATGACACTATATCTTATTGTTCTCAGCACAATAGAAAGAACTTGTTGAGTGTCCTAAAATAACAGGTAATTTTCTGAAATTGCAATCGATGATAACATTTGATTCCAAGCAAGGTTCAGCAGACGTCAGCAAATGTTAGCCATGTGTAACAAGACAAAACCTGTGCATGAGTGGCCAAATATATAAATCCAAGAACTTCCGATGACCTGCTATCTGCACAATCTTCTTGTCAGTTATCAGAATAGGTGGAATTCCGCATTGCATAACAGCTCTGTTCTCACATCATTTAGTAGAGTTATTTGATACCACTTTATACGTTCATTTAAGCTATCTAGACAGTTGATCCCATTTGTTTGACCTTCATACAGTCATTGCAATTGGAAAAGGCCTTTAATTGCTACAAATTTGCATATATGATATATGATCACAAATGCACATGAATTACATGGGTTCAAACATAGTGGAGATTAGTAGAGGTCGTCTGTTTTTCAGAGGAAGAGGGGGCTTTAGTAACAAAATCTTAACCTCCAATATTGAAGCTGGCTTATGTGGAAGTACGCTTCCATATGAAGGAAATCATAGACTTAATGTTTATTCTATCCAAGTACTGATACAATCAACATGTACTAATTATACAACAAATAACAAAAATTTCTAGAACAGAGTCAATATTACATAATTTCAAGCTGCTCTAGCAAGCCAAGATGAAGTAGCATACCTAACTCCTTATATCCAGTCCAATCACTCTTCTCCCACCACTGTAAATTAGATTAATAAAGCCAATTAAATGAATCCATCTGGGATGGGATATTGATAGGGTTATATAAAACTATCAACCTAACATACTTCAAATTCATTCACCTCGAAGCCTACTTGACAGAGAAACAAAAAAGCGTTAAAGCATGCTCACTATAAATAAAACAATATCTTGCGCAGATCATCTAGCTTCCATATCTACCAGAAGCTAAGTTGGGAGAAATGAGGTTTGTAATTCGGCAATGACTTGCAAAGAACAAATCACGAAACATGAAATAGAACCTTGAAGATTTCCATACAGTAATATTCCTACGGGTAAGCCTCCGAGAGAAAATAATGATAATTGAGTTCCCTCAAAAGCCTTTTGTATGAAAGTATAATAAACATTGAGGGATACCGTCACATTGAATTCATTCAAAATATTAATTTACGAAGAACTGCTCCCAAATATTTATTTCCTGACCACCAGTGCTTGTAAATTGTAAACTATAAATACCGTTTCTTTCCATTCCGAGGAACCATCATGGCATTGACCACCCATCCTAGTCCATCTACATCTATATCCGTTTCTGCCCAGTTCTTCCCCACTTTCCCTGTACCAGGTACTACCATCTTCATTAGTGCCCGACTCGTTCACTTTTCATTCAATAAGTTGATGTCCCAGTCCTTCTCATTTGCTATACCAGTGTCTGTAAAAGAACCAGCGATCATGGACAGGCATGCTCTTTTAGATTCCATTATTGGCCAAATTGAATAGCCTTCTAGCCGATCTTCAGGCCAAACAACCATCGTAATGTAAAAAATTGGTACAGATATCAATCACAAGATACCTCTTCTTGGCGGAGTATCACGTGATTGCGGACCGGAATATCTGGGGCTACAACGAGGATAGAATCTTTCTTGCTTCATATTGGAACTGTAACAATATCATGACATAGAGCAGCATAACCACTGAGAAAAATTTTCAGCAATTGTTGATTGCAGAAGGTATTAACAACAGCCAAGTAACAAGCACCACTATCATATATTCCACAAAACGAAGTGTAGTTTGTTTAATTGAGATAATAATGTAGAAGAACAAACGGCAAGAAAAATAAATTAAACAGTTAGTTAAGCATGAATAGCTTTGGTCCATGCACGAACTCTATAACTGGTTGAGGAATTATGGATGTTAAGATTTTCATTCAAACTTTCTTGACAAGTATGGAATGTGCTCCCGATTTGAAAGGGATTGCGAAGTTATAAAATGAGTTTTCAAAAGTTATAAAGAGCTATTTCATCTCCTACGAACCTTAAGGTCATCTGCCATCACCAGCATATCATAATGATTTGATTATGTACAATCAGAAAACCCTGGAGATATCCTAGGCGCCTAACTTAAATTGCCGTCAGACACCCCAGGAGGAAGTTAACTGGAGAAGTTGTTGTTGGCATTAGCTATATAAAAGAAATTGTTGAAACCAAAAACTATGTCAGTTTCATTGGAGGATCGTCGGCGGAGCCATGTTTGCAGAAACTTCATGCTACTTCTAAAAGAATGTTGACATTTCTATAGTTCGAGAGCGGACATAAATTAAAATTTGACACGTACTGAGGAGAAGCAAAAGGCATTGCAGGGGAAGCTTGAACTCGAACTCTGTGAGAGCTCTTCCTGTAATCAAACAGCCATTCTTCGCTCTTCTCGCAGCCTTCACTCCGAATAGGGGAAACTGGGTCGGAACAACAGCAAGTGATGTGAGTGACTCGCACTCGGTCATGCTTAAAACCCAGCTTTCGACGTTTTCGAGGATCGAATGCATGGCTATGCCGGGGAAGCTGACGTCGTCTGGGTTTGAAATCAAAATGCGCAGAGAAGCCTCTAGAACTCGCCGCCATCAGTACAGCATGGCATTGACAAGGAGGACGAAGAGCGCCAGTATTACATATAGTGAGGCGAGAAATGATAGAATGAGATCACGAGAAGATGGGTGTCTTGGGACATTTGCAGGCGGTCAAATACCCCCAGTTTGACCCTTGGAGGAAGAGAGGGAAGCGGGGCCGCGCAGGTGGAGGCGGAGGAGTGGGTGTGGGTGAGATCAGATCCGGCCTGGGTCTCCAATCCCCAGAGTTCAGTGATTTATACACGTCAGCGACAACAGGCCGACGGGAAGGTATAGGAGCGGTTCCGCTCCGTTCCTCCAATTCCTAACGCCATTTCAGTAACGCCACGTGTCAAGCATTCACATGCATCTATCTGCTGGCCTATTGGGTTGCACGAGCTTGATCTCGCCTCGCTGGAGTGAAAAATTTATTTACCGCCAATGATGAGGCATGAGTACAATTGGGACAAAAATACTTGCAAAGCACAATATAGGTAGGCGGGGGACGTGGCCAGCGGCCAAAATTACGGTCAGAGAAGCGGCATCCGCCATCGGTACTATCATCTGGATAGCTTCTAAATTTTTTAAAAAAATTATATAGTATACAAAATAAATACTATATTCGGTCTTATTTAGATAAGATATTGTTTGTAAATTATAAATGAGATCTTATAAATAGGACTGGAGGTAGTATATGAGAAAAATTTTGTTATAATTTATATGATTTTTAATTCCAAACACTCACTTAGTTCGGTTCAACTCCATCACAAAAAATTCGCAGCATTTAATTCGTTTTTTTAAATATTGATTTCTTTAACTTTAGTTTGAACTTTGAATATAATATTTTTATTTTAGTTTTTGTGCCACTTAGAGGGGGTTGAGTTTTAACCTTTACCCGCACACCGCCATGTTACTCCCTGCCATCCTAATGTATAAATCAAAATAGGAATATAATAACTAGGAAACAAGGATAGAAACGCGGGGGTCACGTCATCATTTACTGACCATGCTAGTGTCATTGTTGATACGTGGTACTGTTAAGCCACATCATCATTCTAGATTGGTTTTTTTTTTGGGGTCAAATTCTGGATTGATTTGCTAAATAGTGTAAAAATATACGGAGATTAACACAAGTAAACGGTGGAAACTGTAAGGATGAATTGTGCGGCGGGGGCCATCTATAAAGCTGATCCAAAATCGTTGGTGACCTTAGGTACGAACAAAACGGCAAAGCGGGCCAGGTGTAAAATAGCCTGGCAGCGGAACGTGTGGACTCAAGTGTTGACCATGAGAATAAAAATGTAACGGACCAGCTTGCACTTGGCGTGACTGGACGCTGCCGTGCACAAACTGACAGGCCCGCCGCACAATTCCTGCCGCCCTTTGCATGCGGGTGCGTGTGTGTGTTGGATAAACTTCTTCCTTCGACGTTCACCTCCAACGAAACTTCTGGAGCCTAGAAAGAGAACAGGAAAAAAGAAACGAAAAAGCCCCCAACATTTAACTGCCAGGGTTCAATATAAAAGGATGCTGTGATTACTTATTAAGCATTCTGAAATTCATAATTAGGCTGCTGTAAATATACTTCGCGCCTGCCTTCACGTTTGTGATACATTTGAAAGGAGTATGGGAGAATGACAAGCAGGGATAATGCGCCGATGCTAACTATTATATTTGATCTTAATAATTATAAGACCTCGTTTGTGAGGTATTATAATTAGAACTGAAAATAATATAAGATGTATTTTATATTCATATTACAAATTGGATTTTATATTAAAAACAAAAAGTAGTGTCAATTAAAACGCAGAGGAAGAAGAATTTGATCAGCATATTTATAACATTGCCCCATTTGGTGTGATCAAAGAGTTTTTTATGGAAGTAAAAGTAGAGGTGGAATTGGAAATGGAAGCAGAATTGGGTTTTAAAAATGTGTCTGGTATGCTGATGAATTCGGTATATTAATTTTATTTCATTTATATATTAATATTAAGAAAAGACTAGAATGCCCATCAAATTTAAGGAAGGAAAAAGAACGTGTGTTAGTGACGATTCCATATATCTGAATGAAGGAGAAGTTTAAGAGACCTCACGAATATCTTCAATCTCGACTTGTCCATCAAATTTCTCGTGGATCCATTTATGGAGATGAATGTGAAAGGGGCATTGAATCCTTGATTGACAGTAAGAGATTTTTATTTTAAAACTCTAGCAAACTCAAGAAAATCAATAAACCCAAGAAGAAGAATCATGGTATAAACCCATGAAATTCTTTGTTCATTAACGATAGAATCATAATAGATCATAAACCAGGACTAGGTCACTTGCAATAAAAAAAAAAAAATTGTCCAAAATTAAATCATAACTCCTCCGGGACCTTCAACCATCAGGACCTCTGAAACTCAGTCGAAACTCCCAAGGACCTTCAGATCTGAGTGAGTATTGGTTTGTGCTGTCACCGCCGCCATTGCTAGTGGAGGAGGGTAGTCAGAAAGACCCATCGCAGCAACCACGACATCCCGCCCTCCATCAGAATTTTGACAATGGGTTTCCAATTGGGCACCTCAACCTCCATTAGAGCTCCTTCCAACTTCGCATAGGTCCTGTAATCAGGATCGAGTCACTGCACAAGGGCGCGTTCGAGTAAGACGGTAAAGAGAGGAAGGCCGGAAGGGTCATATCGGGGGACAGGTAAAGTTGTTAATTAGAAAAACGCATGAGGGTATGACGATTCTGAAATCCTACTTTCATGGTACCCATCTCAGTTTCATGGTTTTTTTTTTTTGACCGGAATCTCAGTTTCATGGTTATACCTAAGAAACCCCACCTCCGTTATTTTTTATGGAAGTGAGTCCCACGTGAGAGAGGGTTGTGACACAATCCAATTTATGGATTTCCGTTTCACTTCCTCGGTTCCAGCCTACCAAATGAGGCATTAGAACTGAGATAACGTCCCCCCTTACTGGTCATGCACTGCCGCTGAATCTAATGCAGCCTGCTGATTTTACCGCTCCAGAGAAAGTAACTGCTGGCGTATATTTTTAATTTGCAGGCTTTTTTCAGCTGGATTCCCGGACCATTGGCAAAATGGATTGTATCGCGTCTATTATGAGTTTCATAGTGAGAAACTTTATAAGTGTCATGAGATTTATAAGTTTAAGGAGTTCTCTTTTTTAATAGGTTAGTTTTATAAGACTAAACTCTCTCTTTAGATTTATACTCATCACATTAATATTTTTATTGAGAGTCTATTAACTGGAGAAGACTACTTGCAAAGTCTTCGAACTACTAAGAAGACTAAGTAAAATACCATAAAGTAAAGCCAAGCCGTTGGGAGCGCCGGCTCATATGACCCAACTCATCCTAGTCTGTCTGACTGGTTGGGGATTTCTTTTTTCTAGATATTATTGGGCATTTTGCCTGCAATCTGTAATAATTAGTCTTGCCCACCCTGTGATGCCTGATTCCTGAGTTGACACTTGACACTACCAACCCAAGGAGGGTGGCTGTTTCAACTGGTTTTCCTCCAAACGAAACGGACATGGTGGAATCAAATAATTAATAGTGGATGAGTACGACAGAATGTCATGCATATATGCCGCGAGAATCATTTGATACGCAGACATTGTGAACTTCATTGGCTAGAATTCCGTTTTGATTTAGGTGAGAATAGTTCTGGCTTTGACATGTCCCTTTGCGTAGATTGATACGTGATCTGAACAATAATTACTAGTTTTGGTAGATACCGAATTACTGGAAATGTGAGCAAGGAAGCAGTTTCATTTGCATTACGTACCCTTGCAATCGAGCTCCAAGCCTCGCCTCGCCAAGCCAAGTTTATTCAACGTTTGAGCTTTAATGGCGTATCAGATAATCACAGCTCAGTGGTTTGAGAGCCCCCGTAATCGGACCCTCCACCACACACGAACAGCTTATTCATCAACCTAAGGGCCGCAGACGCATGGGCAGGGGAAGAGAAAAATACCTTTTTGGATTTTTCAATTGAAAAATAGTAACCCTCACTTTTATGAATGCCTTGAAGGAACTAATTGATAAATCATTATTTTCACTTCTTCAAGCACCTCTTTTTTTATCTTTTAATAAACAGCTTGTATGTCTTAAATGGGCTATTAATCAGTAACAGTTAATATAATAAGAGACAAAAAAAATCATATTTGTGTTTAGTTAATTTAAAAGTCTAGCAATCTTGTTTTTTATTTTTTATTTCCAATAACTTATGCTTGATTTATTCATTGTATTATTACCATGGGTGAGTTGGTCACTTATCATAAAGTCGGACTACTTAAATTTATTTGTAAATTATTTGACATTTGATCCATGATTTTTTATAAGCTCTATAAAATTATCTGCTTATTTTTGCTGTTCAGTGTCGGTTTTAAAACATTGATCTCGATGATACTGTGCGGGATCCTTGGTCTTCCTGAAAAATTTTAAACATCCCTTCCTCGACTTCCCATCATACTGCAAAGAGTTTCGAGTCCCAGGATGGAGATCCGTCTCACTACAACCCACACGCGCAAACAAATACTGCTCATGGAGGAGAGAGGGCAGCTGAATAGGATGGCAAACCCAAACACACCTGAGGGGGCGAGCTGGGTAAATAGCCATTTGACCGGAAACGCTGTATTCCAGGAAACCATCAAATGTCCATGGAAGAGCTCTTTTCGATTTTAAAAAAAATTAAAAAAAGTAGAGTTATAAAATTTTAACTAAAAGGATAGGTAAAGGATTAACATAATCTTTGATATCTTTAATTTTTTCTCATTTTGATTTTAATTCCTTAAATTTTAAATCATTTGTAAAATAGTTCAAGTTTTTAATAAATTATAGAGATTGATATTTTAAATGAAAAAAAAGACTTAATGAACAAAAACCCATGATTTTAAATTTGAGGGACAAAAATAAAAATGAGAGTAAATTTGAGGGACCAAATATTATATTAATCGACATGTAAAATGAAAAAATAAAAATAATTAATAGCTTTTAATTTATTTTTTTTAAAATCAAACTCATTAAATTTTTTTCTTTCCTCCCCTTCATTTTTTTGGTACCGAACGAACTACTAGGTCCTGTTTGATGCGAAACATTCAAAATAAGAGATAAAAAAATGTGATTGGGATTATATTTATTATGAGTAATTTCTTATTATATGAAATTGAACAATCCCATATATGTAGGATTGGAGAATATTATCTCTCTTTATAGTATTTTCCAATTCTATGTATATGGATTTGTCTAATTTCAAATAACAAGCAATCAATCGTACTAAACATTCATTTAATATATCTTTGCAATTGTTATTTTTCATTTTTAATGTTTTGTACCAAATAAAACTTTAAAGTATAAGGGCCTGTTTAGAATAATTTATGAGTAACTTTTTAATTGTGATTTATAGAATACGAAATATGTGAGAAAAATTTTATTTTGATTTACATAAAACATGTTTATAATTGATTTCTAATATGATGCCAAGCAGGCCTGAGCTGGCTTTCCTTTTCCTTTTAGCTTTCATGGCGTTCCTCCTAGCGCTTCCGACCGCTGGTCACTTCTTGCCTTCTCGATGACAATGATGTAACGACCCGCTCTTCAGTTATTTATGCGACAGACTTCTTAAATAAATACTGTCGTTTTTTATGATGAATTTTAAATAACTAATTCATAAATAATTAGTTAAAATAATAAATAAATCAGAAATATGCTTTTATTTTTAAATATGTCTCTATAATAAGTAAAAAATATGTGAAAAAATGTGATAAGAAAGATTGTGAAAAAAGAGAGAATAAATAATTAAGAGTAAATTTTTCAAGAATACATCAAAGGTTAAAAAAATTAAAACTAAAACTTAAAAAATAGATCACACTTCTTTTTAAATTTAAAGTTTATAAATACAAAGGGAGGGAATATTGTGCATGGCCTATCAATAGAAGAGATTAGACGAAGAGATTCATCTCATCGTTAATCATACTTGTTGTATATTTCTCACTTCTCATTGTAAAAATTAAAAAAAAAAAAAATTATCCGTTTCTATAATTGATATGAGAGTCAAATAAATTGTTTAATTACAATAAATATGATTTTTCTATCTTGTATAACATCAAGTTGTATATCGATTTATAATTTAAATAAATTAATCTAAAAAAGTTATCAATATAAAAGATAAAATAAATTAAAATATATTATTCAGAGTTAAATTCGACCCTGCGAATAACTCGCATGTTAGAGATAAAATAATTTGATATAATAGTTTGTGATATTACTTCTAGTCCTTAATATAAGATTCAAAGAAAATGCTAAACAAAATTTTCATCAAAAAAAAATGTTAAACAAAATATTTTAAAGTATTATATTTATTATTTTTCTCAAATTAATTTGATCGGCTTATAAAGTGATATATAATCTAATGATACATATAAATATTTTAGAAAGATCATGTAATATATATTATAAGCAAGTAATTTTTTTAGCTTCTTTAATTATTTTTAAATTAATAAATTATGTCTTATATTATTCAGCGGGTGCAGTAATAATTTGGCTGGTCATGGTAAGAATTCACGGAAAAACGGAGCCAGGCCAACTGCGCAAAGGCACATGTATCGGAGACAGCCGGCTAAAGAACCGGGCCTCACTGTCGATTAGGCAACGATAAGCCGGAAAAGAAATATAAAAGCAAAAATTCACAAGCTCGCGTGTAACTGACACCGGCTATACTGGCCCTTGAATTAAACAATTCTCAATTGGGGTTCAAATAAGACATGCTTCGTTGGGGGGAATCAAGTTCCCTGTGTTGGATTATTGGAGGGCTTGAGAAGAGAGAAATCACTGGGTGATAGCACGAAGAGCAGCAGTGGTTCCTGCGAGGGAGGAGGACAAAGAATAGAGGAGTGATAAGAGGAGTATTATTGCTTTAAGAAAAGCCAGCGTGGAAAATGAACAGGGGAGCGGCCCGTTATATCCACACCACATGACTCTTCAGTGTTCACAGCTGGACTTATTCGCCGATCCAGCTCCTTCGTCTCTCGCCCCTCTCCTCACGCGCGGTCTGTTCTTCATATCCATATTCCCCCTCCTCTTTATATACCTTCCAATCCCAACTGTATGTATCATAATCATACCCCTTTTCTAGTAGCCAAATCACCAACTGACGAGTATAAGCTCTCCTTTTCCTCCAGACATGGTCGGCGTTTTCAGTCGCTCTCTCAGTTTCCCAAACAAGATTCCCAGCCGCCCGTCGCCCAAACCACGCATTTCCCGCCACATCAGGTCCATCAGTCTGCCCTGCCGATCTCACCCTCTGATTTCCCAGATCAAAGATGACATCATCCGCCTCACCTCATGGTCTTCTACTTCCAAACTCCACCCGCAAACAACCACCAACCTTTGCCACTCTCTGAGCCTTCTGGCCCAACTCCACAGCACCCTCCAAGATATCTTCCAGCTTCCCCATACTCAGGAGTCCCTCCGCCGCCAGCCCCGCTGGGTCGAGCATCTTCTAGAAGATTTCCTCCTCTTCGTCGACGTCCACGGAATATTCCAATCCTCTGTTCTGGCTCTCAAAGAACAGCATTCGGCTGCTCAGATGGCCGTAAGGAAGAGAGACCACTCCAAGGTGATTCTGTACGTGAGGGCTAGGAAAAGGATGGCCCGGGAGATGGAGAAGCTGGCGTCCAAAATCCGATGTGTGGAGCACAATTATGGCGTGACGACAACGACAACGTTGGTGCCGGTTGGAGATGCCGAGCTGGCAGGGGTGATCGTGGATGTTATTCGTGTGACGGCGTGCGTTTCGGTTGCTCTGTTCAGCGGCATCGGATCATCGTTAGCGTCGAGGAAGTTGTCGTGGGGGCAGCTGGTGAAGCTGTCGAGGAAAGGCAGGAGTGAGAGAAGCGAGCAGGAAGGCATCAAAGAGCTGCGGGTGGAAAGCTTGTGCAGTCTGAAAAAGAAGGGCGACGAAGAGGTGAGATCTGCTCTGAAGAGAATGAGAGATTTGGAGGGTTCTATCAGCCTTATTGAAACTGTTAGCGACAGAGTTTTCAGGGCTTTGATCAACTCCCAGGTTGCTTTGCTAAACACTCGCGCGCACTAGGCAGCTCCACTGTGATTTTGAAACCAATGAGAATTCTTCTTAGCTGTATGCTAGGGCATATATATGCAAATATACGCAAAAAAGGAAAATTAAAGGGAGTTGTTCACCCAAACATAAATAAATAGATAAGCAAAGGCTCTCCACCTGTAAACAATAACATATGTCATTTATTGAATAGTGCAGAGTAGCATTTTTCCCCCTCTGTCAACGAAAATTCAAGTCAACCTCCGCAATAGTCTTCACAGACGAGTGTACTTATTCTGGCAGTTAATTTTGTCCGTTTTCTTTTTCTTATGACCTCCTCATATTTTTGCCTTCGTTCCCATTATATTCCTCCTGTCCCTGTACGTGCTGGTTGGAAAATTAGATTTCATCTCATTAATTCACTTTATTTGCTATATTTATTATTATTTTAAATTAATTTATTATATTTATAAACTAACTGATAGTGTATAATACAATGATATAATGTTGTGCGTGGTATTTTAAGAAAATTATGACACACCTATTAACTAATTTATTTATCTAAATTATATTAGTGAAATAGTAATAGTTCCTAAGAACCAGTATTATAACTTGTCGTTGTTATATAGGGCCACATCATATGTCTAGTACTTTTTTATTTTTTTGCCTGAATATGTCTAGTAGCAATATATACTACTTCCGGTCCTTAACATAAGAAGTAGGTGACTAATTTAAATAAATTAAAAAAATTAGTTAAGTTAGTTATTTGTAATAAATAGATATTATCTTTCCTAAAATATCCTTACTAATTATGTGTATACAATGACTATTTTAAAAAATAAATAAATATAAGAAACAAAATAGATTAGAGTCTTATATATAGGACCAAACTGAAAAACAAACAAATTCTTATATTAAAGATATGAGTATAAAGATGTCAGGTCAAAAAAAAGATACTCCTTCAGTCCTTAATATAGGACCCAATTATTGAGTTAGTTTTGATCCTAAATATAAGACCCATTTTTCATATTTATCAATAATCTCTAAATTACCCCTATGGATACTCCCTCAACCATAATTAAGTAGAAGAGGGAGAGGGGGTATTGAGAAAGATGATTATGGTGTTTTAGGAAAACCGTATCATATTTATTATAATTAACTAACTTACCTAACTTCCTTAATCTAATCAAATTAGTTAAATGGGTCTTATATTAAGGATCAGAGGAGTATTATAAAGATGCAAGGAATCAGATTGCACGAGACGAGACCATGCATTGTTGGAGAGAAGAGATACAGAGAGGCATGTAGTTTTAACCAGATCATTCAGTTTTAAGCAGGACTGACTGACGATGGGGATAGGATGCTCATAACTATTTCCATGATCGCCGTAACCTGTAACGCTGTTGGATGGATGCATGGTAAAACAAGATTGACGCTGCCTAAGCCTGTTATTGTGATTCGAGGGAGGACTTTGATTATGAAAATTATGTTGTCCTGTATTAGCATAATAAACAATTTAAAAACAATCGTTATTCCTGATTGGTGTGCAGACGAAGATGTGACTGACTCATCATTGTTTTATCTGGGGGGAAAATTGATGATGACGATGATTTTGAAGATCTGCTGAACATTATACGAGGGCGGTGATGAGAAAGTCCGATCCAAATGATTTATTATTTTTTAAAGGATGGCAATGATTGATTCATTAAAAAGAGCAAACAGAGGGGAGGACTACTTAAAAAGGAAACAGGAGAGGGTGGCAATAATGGTGGTAGCCTGGCACAGACAGCTGATGTTGGTTAGCAACAGGCTCACAATCAAAGTCGTCCATCGCATTCCAATAACTAATTAATAGCTCTTATCCTTTCTTAATTAATTTTATTAGATTCAAAAAATTAATTTAATTATTTATCATAAATGTAAGTTAATTTTTATAAAATATCATCTTTAATCATGATTATCCCTAGTCCTAACATGTATAATCAATAAGTATATTTTACAGGATAAACTACAAATTTATAAAACAAAATAAATTAAAATCTTATATTTGAATTAAAAATTAAGATCTTATATTTAAAATTAACTTAAATTTTTAAGTAGTTTTTATATTAAGTAACAGCTGTAGGCGTAGACTCGCAGGTAAAAGCATTATTTTGTGAAATCGGTGGACAGTCGGGAATGGGAGATCGATGTCAATCTGGACTTTGACGGGGAAACAGGTTGCAATGGATGGTTGACTACATAAAAAGGACATAATCATCTGGATCCTTCGTCTTTACTGGTTCCTTGACACAAACGGGCCTGCCTCTGGTTTTAACCTGGCATCCTCACAAAAGGCCCCAATTGGTATCTGCAGCACTTCGCTCATGCACGGCATCTTCCTCCTTTTGTCAGTAATCTTTGTACTCATCTAGGGCCTTGCAACCGCTCTTAAAACTGTCTTGATTTATGGTTCCGTATGATCAGATATTGGAGTCCGTCTCGGAACAACTCCTCTCGTTGTCTTCATCAATAGATTAATAATTGTTCCTGACGAATGTAAATGTATCAATCCATGTATATGATTATTAATATTACCAATATTATTAATTAAATATATAAGAATCCACATTTCGTTTCGCTTCAAACTTTGTGACGCACAAGTCCCACCATTTAGTCGGAAAAAGAAAAAGAAAACTAACGATACATTCTCAGTGACCGTTAACCTATCCATGGCGGAAAAATATTGATCCACGTTCCAAACACACTTGAATTCATGAGCGATGTTCGTGGAAAGTTAATTGGAGTCCCCCTCACGCACACTTTTTTTTTTTTTGGTCCAGATTTTACCTCTTTCTTCGTGGCTGTCATATCTATCCCTAACAAGTAATAACACTGCAGTTTCTTTCGGGCAATATAACATCACAGCGCTAGAAACAGATATAAAGCAGCCTCGAGTAGCTAAACGCTAGCGTGATGCGTGATAAAAGTTCTTTTAAATTTATGAAATTTGGAAGCGTTTTTCTGGTTTCTTGGCGTATCTTTTTAGAATTCTTTTAAATATCATTCCACATGCAAGGGAACTTAATAACGTAAAATTAAATTTAGTTAAAAATTGAATGTGAATTAAGAATATGATGACGGACAATATATGCCTTCATACGTACCGTTGGGCGCACGAGGCACTGTAGCGGGGTTGGAGTAAAGCAGGAAAGGATGAACGAGAGGATGATTGGGGAAATTAAAAGGCAAAGGAGGGCGAATTCAATTGAAAGGAGATAATGGCGTTAAGGTGCAAAGTCGTGGTTGTCTGTAAAATGCCTCAATCCTCAGCATGATCGTGACCAAGTACGAAGATTACACTTTAATGTCTTTATGCTACTACGTACCAACGACCCACGAGAAAAGCAATGCTCTTCGGCACTGCAGGTGTAAACAAGCATGGCTTCCCAAATAACGTTAACGTTGCTGTCTTTATCGGATTCCACGCCATGGGCTTTGGGTCACATGAAGGCTACTGTTGTTTTGGAGGTCTAATGCAGCAACAAACAAATTGCAGTGAGTTGGAACTCCACCCGGAAGGTGAAGGCAGATGAAAATCTTCTTTTAAGGCAGGAGACATGAATGCCAAACTTTTTCGTATAATAATGGCAAGCTCCGTTTTCCATCATTTTGCCTGCGCACCCACATCAACTATCCTCCAAATCCCCCAATCATAAATCACTTTGAATTTAATGTAACCCCAAATCATCGCAGTTGGATTCGTTCTTCTTCCTCATCATCGCTCCAAAAGTTACTTTGCCCCATCATCATCACTCCTACTAATGTCTCCTTTGAATTCCATCAGCCCACCGCTGCATGCGTTTTTGGATTTAAACTCAAATCGCCTCAACCTCCGGCTTTGCCCTGCACTTGCTTCTCTTTATGCACTCTTTCCCTGTTCCTGCTCTTCCATGACTCACTCATCATACCACATAACTTAAAAATTTTTTGGAATAAAATATCTACTTCCTCCGCTTTCATTTTTACAACGAATTTATACGGATTTTTTCCCAATATAACCACAATGAAATTATGAAATAACTTACCATAAATATTGCTCTTCCCATTAAAACTTAGGAAATAAAGTTGGTATTGAATAAGAGTAGGAAAAAACGAAAATATGTATAAAGCATATGCTAGCTAAACTAGTTTTTTTTATTTGATACATTAGTTAAACTAGTTTAATTGGTTGTGAGAATTAACCAGTGCTATTGTTTTGGGCCTCAGCGAGCGACAAGAATTACAGGAGGAAATATGTTTTAAAAAAAAACTAAAAAACAACATAAAAATAGCAGGGGGCAAAACTCCCAAAAAGCAACAAAAGAGACGTTATAACTCATGCCAGCACCCGTCACTTTTTCTGGGGTAAGAGAGAGACGCGCTAGATGTAGCGGTCCACTGAGAAGTTAATGATATTTCCTTCAGTAGGAAATCAAATTAGCCAATACCAACACCGTCCGTATATCAAGCTTCCCCTATTAATACAATTAATTCCGCCCAACAAAATCTCTTCATTTAATATCATGAGCCGGGCCTAGCTCCCGCGACTGCCACAGTCCTAGCTCATCCACTCCTGCATTTTTATTACTACGACATCTGTTTCTCGGACAAACTCGCCGGAATCATGGGTTGCAACTCCTCAAGACTGGATCGCCTCCCGGCGGTGGCTCTATGTCGTGACCGTTGCAAATTCCTCGATGAAGCACTCCGCCAAAGCTACTTTCTAGCCGATGCTCACCTGGCGCACATGCACTCCCTCAAAACACTGGGCCCTGCTCTCTACTCTTTCTTCCATCACCAGGAAGATTCCGGCGACCATGCCGACCACAGCATCAAATCCAATCTGCCCAGGTCGCCTCCGCTCGCCGCCTCTCCTGATCACGCCTTCTCCTCTTCCAGTTCTGATTCAGATTCACACGTCCACTCGCATTCTGAATCGTCAGAAACTGAGAATAATACAGATAAACATTTCCAATTTCTTAACCCAACTCGTTATGATTATCTCAACCGCGACTCTTCTCCTGATGACGTGGTTTTCATGAATTATATGCAGCCTCTGTACCCTCCTTTTTCTCCGGCTCCGTCAAACTCAAAGCCACCGTCACCCCCTCCCCCGAGCAGCTCAGCCTGGGATTTCTTGAACTTGTTTGAAACGTTCGAGAAATACGAAGTGCGGTACAGTCCGAGCGGTGACATAAAGGAAGAGAAGAGCAAAGAAAGTCAAAGGAGCACTCAACACTGCCCGAAGAGTGAAGCTACTGAAGCTGCAAATGGATCCGATAATGGAGGGGGTAAGGCGGAGAGGGCAGAAAATGGAGCAGCGAAAAAAATGAAGGCTGATTCGACGGAAAAGGAGCAGCAGGAGGCAAAAGACTTCAGCAACTCGGCGAAAGTGAAGTCACCGAAAGGAGTGAGTGAGATAATGAAAGAGATTCAGATTCTAATGGAGAGAGCATCGGATTCGGGGAGCCAAGTTTTGGAAATGCTTGACGTTGGCAAACTCCGTTACCATGAAAGAATAGCCGTTAATCCAGGTAGGCCCCTCATGTATGGCTTTGTCTGCTCGATTCAATTTTGAAATTCAGGAATTCTAGAGCCTTTGCAATGAATCTCTCATGGTTGTTGGTACCAGTTTCTTGCAAGATGATGCATGTTTTTACTCCGTTAGTATCCTCAAAGTCCCCGACCGTCAAAAGCATGGAATCCTCACTCATGTGTCAGAGAATGGGATCTGCGTATCAAAGAGTTGATGAAGATAGAGGGAATTTGTCTTCTACTTTGAAGAGGCTATCTGTGTGGGAGAAGAAGCTGTATGATGAAATTAAGGTATGCGTTAATTAACTTCTTTTTTCTGATTTTCGGTCTCCAATCACTCGGGCAGACACAGTCAATGTTCATATGCAAACGATAACAGTAAGCCCCTTTAAATCTTTTTGAAATTTTTGAATATATTCCTTTTTTTGGCAGAAGTTTTAATTTGGAGAACATCCGATCAATTTGGATTCAGTTATTAGTTGGAATTCAACATGCCACTTCCAAAATTTGGTATTTAATACAATATGCGTGTAGATATACAATTTGCATGGAATATAATTAACTAGCAAGATCCCCCTTATGCGTTCTGTGATGATCTTATGAAGCAATGCGACGAACTTAATTAGGCATGCATAAAATTATGAATATTTGACAAAAAGCAATTTAAATCATATTTTCTCATAATCTTATTAAAGAATTCATTAATTCTTGTTGATTTAGCAAATACCATTAAGTGTTTAATTTATATCTTGGGTTTGAAGAATTCATCTAATTTTTCAGGTCGAGGAGAAATTGCACGTGCTTTATAAAAAGAAATGCAGAGAGTTAAATCGAGCGATGAGTAAAAAATGTGTGGATGCTCAGAAAGTGGATGCACTTGAAACTTCTATCCAGATCATAGCTACAAAACTGAAGATATCCATCCATGTAGTTGACAAAATATCAAACACAATATGCAAGTTAAGGGAAGAAGAGCTGTGGCCGCTGGTCAACGAGTTTATTCTCAGGTACAACACGCCCATGACAAGAGGGGGCAAAAAATAATGGAATTGCATTCTACTGCACATCGCGCTCGCGCATGTTGCATCATGTCGGATTATGACAGAAAGTAAACTGAAACAGAATAACTAGTCAGGAGAACAAGGATTATAATTTCTCGCTTCTTTATGTAGTAAAAGTGATTTATTTAACCACACTGATTTATTTTCTTCCTCAACTTGTTTATCTGTGGAAAAAGGTTTGTTGGAATGTGGAAAGAGATGCTGGAGTGTTACAGATGCCAGAATCAGGGAATCGAAGAAGCCAAAAGTCTAGAGGCGTGCTCATTGGACAGAAAGCAAATCAGCAAAGAGCATGTGGATGCAGCAATAAGAGTAAAGTGTGAACTGCAAAAATGGAACTTGAGCTTTTCAGAGTGGGTTTACGCCCAAAAGTGTCAAGTCAAAGCTCTGAACGGGTGGCTCCTGAGATGGCTGCCGTATGAGGCGGGAGAAGAAATAGGCGAGGGCGAGGGCCCTTTGTCGCCAAGTAAAATTGGGGCGCCGTCCGTGTTCGTGATCTGCAACAAATGGTCGCAGGCAGTGGACAAAATGTGGGAGAAGAATGTGATAGAAGCGGTGAATGAGCTGATTTGTGGGGTGAATGGGGTGTTGGAGGCGTATATATCAGAGCTTGAGCAAAGATTAGCAGTGGACAAGGAAGTGGAGAGAAGAGTGAAGGAGGCGGAAAGGGAGGAGCACAAGATGCAGAGGGTGGTGCGAACTCGAGAGAAGAAGATGATATCGGCAGAATGGGAGGGGGGTGTGCATCATGCTCAGCTTTTTCAAAGTGGCAGTGGAAGCCTTCACTGCCGTCTCAAGCACATATTTGCTGCTCTGCAAAACTTCACTGCCGTCTCTGCTTCCGCATACGAACTGCTCTCCCAACACATTGAACAAGACAGCCACCGCGTTTTGGTTCATTAGCTCTTTTACTATTCCCATTCCTGTGTACGCCCAATCCATGTCTCTTTCCCCCTACCTCCTTCCACACTGAATTATCTGAACTTCTACTGTTGACTAGATATCCTATATATATATGGGCTAAATTCAAATTCAAATTCAAAATTCTTCAAACCAAGGATGTTTGCTTCCCTATTCCTTCAAGGCCAAAATAAGCGTTTGGAATACCGACACAAGTGATACAGCCTTTGTGGCGCCAAACCATCGCCCAGTCAATCAGATAAACTGGACTATTCATAATGCCTCCCCCCCCCCCCGGGGCCACAGATAAACTATCGTAATTTCATTCAACGTCATCATTGATTGGATTTGGTCTGATAAAAGGAATGTTATCAGCATATTATTGAAGTGTTGCTGGCAAAATTAGAAGATGCAAACTATCACAATTGATTCGGTGTTTACTTGGCCATATCATAGCACCAATACAAACTATCTTATTTTTTTAATATGTAGATATTCCCTCACATCATACATTATAAAATGCAAACGAATGTTATCATGCGGTTGCGGTCATAAATTCATTGGTGTTTATATTTTTAACATCAACAAGGCATTGACTGTATAATAAAATAACTTGTTGTTTGTATTTTTAATGTACAAATACATGAGTATATATACCACACATACATGACTAACGAACTAAAAAAATAAACAGTTGTTATGAAAATACTCCCTCCGTTCCTTATTATAAGAGACAAATAACCAAATTACGTTGATCAAAAAAACAGTTAAAATTAGTTGAGGACAATTAATGTGTAAAAAGTATAATATTTTTTCCAACAATGCCCCTATTAATAAGGAGAGAGAGTTATGAGAAGTGGGAGGAGAGAGAATATGAGTTGGAGACAAAATAAATAGGGGTAAAATAGGAAATCAATACACAAAACTAGAGACAACTTTTAAGTGTCTCTTATATATAGGAACATGCTATAAGTATCAAATGTCTCTTATAATAAGGAACGGAGGGAATAACATATACTACCTCCGGTCCTAATTATAAGAGCCAGTTGACTAATTTGAGGAGATTAAGAAAGTAAATTGAGTTAGTTATTTGTCCTAAATATGTGTTGTCTTTTCTAAAATATCTTTGCTAATCAACTCTATTGACTAGAACTATCATTGTTAGAAGAGCTACTTTGAAAAAAAAATATAAATATGAGAGACAAAATAGATTGGGGTATTATATTTAAGACCAAAATAAAAGGCAAATATGATCTTATATTAAGGATAGGAGGTAGTAATACATATGACACATTGTGTAAGGTGATAAATTATACAAATTATAAAGCACAAGAAGTTGTTATTGGGGTTTTAAATTGCACGGGATAATGCGTTTTTCTATTTTTTTTTAAATAAAGGATTTTGCTTTAAAAAATGAAATAAAGAATTAAATCTAGTTTTCCTTAAACAGTAAACAAAGAGAAAAGTAAAACTGCGGTACTATGAACGCGATTCAACTTATGCGGGAGAGGCATAGTGGAAAGACAAAAGTGGCCTTGTAGAGTATATAACGGACAAATTTCGCGAGAGAAGTGAGAGCGACAGCTAGGCTTTGTGAGTGCGAGGACGGAGGACGGGGACGGGGGGGAAGAGGATGACAAGAAAGTTGAAGCTCCTCATCACTCTTTTATAGATCTCGCTCCCTCTCTCAACCCCACAAGTTACAAGAGCGCGCACGAGTGTGTCTTGATAGTCAGACTGATTTGTTATCATCGTCTCGCCTTGGTGCCTCCCCCACAAGCCTTAGATGTTGCTTAGTTTCCGCTATTAGTTGGTGGAGTTGGGCGCACTTAGCTGATTGTCCCAGTAATGGGCTGTTGCGTATCTTCCTTTTCCAAGGATTCTATTCCCCATAACATCCCTCATTTGGATAATCACAAGAAAAACATCCTCAACCTTCCTTCTTCCTCCAACGGCGCCGATAATACCTTTGCTGCTGGTGACTTCCCGCCGTTCTTGGAGTTCTCCCTCGCCGACCTCAAAGCTGCCACCAACAACTTCAGCCCCGATCACATCGTCTCCGAGAGCGGCGAGAAAGCCCCCAATGTCGTTTACAAAGGTTGTCTCCTGAACCAGAACCGCCGTTCTATTGCCGTCAAAAAATTCACTAAATTGGCCTGGCCCGACCCTAAACAGTTCGCGGTACTCATTTCACTATTCGTATTGATTTTACAGCTTTTGCAAATCCTAACCTCTTTTGGGTTGGAACGCCTAGGTTTAATCGAGTTGTTGCAACTTGTTCATGCAGGATGAAGCTTTGGGTGTCGGAAAATTAAGACACAAGAGGCTTGCCAATTTGATTGGTTATTGTTGTGATGGGGACGAGAGACTTCTCGTTGCAGAGTACATGCCCCACGATACCCTCGCCAAACATCTATTTCACTGTATCTTTTTTCCTTTTTCCCCGTTTATTCTTGTCATTTTTTTTTGGCTGCGTTTCAACATTTTTATCATAACTATTACTAATAATTTTTTAGAAGGAGGCTTGAAATTTATTAACTAATCACTGCTCATTTATTCCTAAAATTCACGGGCTTCAGTTCTATTGACTTCGAATCCAATTTTATAACTGACACGGCAACGGTTTAAGCTGATTACCCCCGCTGCACTTTCTTCCTTGATATCCAGTGGTTGCACGGACTTGAAACATTGTTTCCCGTGCATGCTACTCTGAATTCTGATGGACATGAATTTTAGTGTAGAAAGGAAGTAGTCTTTTTCTCTGAATCTGATTAAAACGCCTTAGGCGAATCCTCGTTAACCATTCAGATATATCCCATGGAAGATTTCCACATAACACCTTTGTTCACAACGTCTCCGTTTTGCATCTGTATATGTCATCTTGCTCGAGTCTTCTCGCACCCTTGCCCACTGAATTTGTTCCTTTACCCTCGGATTTCAAAATTATAGTTATCTGTGTGTTAATATCCTGGCTTCCCATCACGCCTTTGTATGAAAAAGATTAGGATTGGGCTCTTTTTTCTAGTGGGAGTTGAGAGCGTTTATCTTCATATATGGTTTTGGCTTATGTAAGGCTCTTCTTGCAGCCAGAGCGTAATAGGTTATTCATTCTGTTTGATATGGAAGTTATATTCCCATTTTCATCGGAAATATTCATATTGCCTTGCGATGTTCTGCGCTTCACTCTTATAGATAGCAACCATCCATCGTTAATTCAACTTGATTAAGTTCAGTTTAACACTGCAATTATGTGTATAACTTTTCTTCCCGCATCTTCGATAGGGGAGAATCAGACAATTGAGTGGGCCATGCGGTTAAGAGTTGCCTTAAGCATTGCCGAAGCATTAGATTATTGTCATAGAGAAGGCCATCCATTGTATCATGACTTGAATGCTTACAGAGTTCTCTTTGACGAGGTGATTATGGACAGCTATTTTATAAGTAAATGTTTGGAATTCAGATTAATATCTTCAGCTTATTATAATCTTTGTATAGTTTGGATATTTTTAATTTGTAGGTAGTGTTGTGAACAGTCATGCGAGTCGGGCTGTACGTTTGTAAAACTATTGACAAATCTTACTGTTTTGACAGAATGGTGATCCTCGGCTTTCATGTTTTGGTTTGATGAAGAATAGCAGGGATGGGAAAAGTTATAGCACAAATCTCGCTTACACACCTCCTGAGTATCTGAGAAATGGTGTCTGAGTATTTTCTTTCAAATATTTTTTCCCCCAGTGCTCCTTGACAATATTTTACACATTTCATTCCATAATACTAACTTCGGTTCTTAGTATAAGAGCTAGTTTGACATTTAATTTGGTTCTAAATATAATATCTCAATTTAATTTGTCTCTCATATGTATCTATTTTTTTCAAAGTAGTCTTTGTAGTAATTGTACATGTTAAAGGTTCCTTCAAATAATAGTTCTAGTTAATACACATGATTAGTAATGGTATTTTAGGAAAAATAATACCTATTTATTACAAATAATTAACTTAACAATCTTCTTTAATTCACTCAAATTAGTCAAGTAATTTTTATATTAAGGATTGAAGGTAGTATTCATTGACCCTTTTGTGTCTATTTTTTACTAGAATTGAAGTGGAACCTTCATTGATCTAACAGGAGATAAGGTTGCACTACCAAGCTAGAGTATTTGTTGTCTAAAGTTGAGAAGTCTATAACAAATGACACACACACTTGCATACCGTTGGAGAGCTGTGAATGACATTATATTTAATTCATATATTCATTTTGTGAAATTGGATTTAGTATAGAAATTTGAGAGGTTTACCCCAGAGAGCATCTTTTTATCACAGATTTGTAAGTAGTCATCGAATTTTGCTGCTCAGGTATAGTCTTGTCATCATGCTGTCCATTTTTCAGGAAAGCTTCTTAAGCTGTATGTATGCTGATAGATGTTTTCACGACTTCTAGCAGCAGTAGTAATATATGTGTCTTTTGTAGGGAGGGTGACCCCGGAAAGTGTCATCTTTAGCTTTGGAACTGTGTTATTGGATCTTCTAAGTGGAAAGCATATCCCTCCAAGTCGTGTAAGTATTCTATGTAGCCATAATTAATTCCTTGATCCCATTTTTAGAGTGATTTGGGCATCCTACTGATTAAAAAAGGCCATTTTTGGTAAAGTGGCATTTAAGCCCATAGAGAACATCATGGATAACCAGGTATTTGATGCATTAGATGCTTTTGGAGAATACTTTATGGCATGGTTATCGAAAGTAATGAAGAATAACATTCTTTTCTTTCTTTAAAAGATCATAGTCTATGTTGAAAACACATAGCTCATGATTGGTTTATCTTGTAAAATGAATTCTAAATGGCTAGAATGCTTTCTGGTTCCCTGGAAGCTGTTTCGGGTGGTCATCAATTCTGTTTGGCTGATGAATCAACTTTATTATTTTTTTGTCCAAAATCCATTTAAAGGTTTTTTTTCTTTTAATTTAAAGAAGTACTCTTTTTACCTGCAGGCTCTCGATATGATAAGGGGCAAGAATTTACTTATCCTTATGGATTCACATTTGGAGGGAAACTTTTTAACTGATGAAGCAACTGTGGTTTTAGATCTAGCCTCACAATGTTTGCAGTCTGAACCTCGGGAACGGCCCAAGACCAGGGACCTTGTTATCACACTCTCC